TCCCGCCAACAACATGTGGATCGGGGGGGGCGAAATGCCCTTGCCCCCCAGCAAACCTAAAAGAGAGAGAAGGAAGGGAAGGGAAAGGGAAAGAGGAGAGAAAGGGAAAGCAACAAAAAAAAAAGGAGAAAGAAGAAAGGTAAGGGAGATCAGTTGCGGTTTTTCCGCCAACACTTGAAGGTGTAGATCGGGGGGGGGGGGGGGCTTGGGGGAATAATAAAAAATCAAACGTGGTTTATTTCTAATTCCATGACGGTGATTTAAAAATGTTGCTAAAATGACATAATTTTCCGAGATTTTTTCTCACTTTTTTTATTAAATTATACTTTTTGTATGCGTTTGTTGGAAAATGACAAATTCCTAAACTTACAGTCAGGCAAGAAATAAGCTTATTGCGATGCCTACATGTCAGGGACCGCGGAACGGTGGGATCAGGTGCCTCGAGCTTCCTCCCCCTCCTTCACTTTAAAAAAATATATATATTAAAGAGTAACAGAAAGTAAGAGAGCAAGAAATAAAATCAGTGAACTGCCAGTGTCACAAAAAAATGAGGTATCAAAATATGCTCATCTGACTGTGATTAACTGCATAAGACCCCCGAGCTTTAGGGGTCTCTTCCCCCTGGATTCCATCTAGGGCCCAAAGTTCGGCCCTTAGATGCTCATGTGACGGTAATTTAATGCCTAAAACCCCTGAAATTCTTGGGGCTCCGTCCCCTGGACTCCAAGCCAAATAGTGTCCTGTCAGTGTCACAAAATAATAAGGTATCAAAAAATGCCCATCTGACCGTAATAAAACGCCTAAAACCCCTGAGCTTCCGGGCTCTACCCTAGACCCAACCAAGGGCCCTAAGGCGGGCCCACGAATGCTTATCTGACAGTAATTAAACACCTAAAACCCATGAGCTTCCGGGGCTCTACCCTAGACCCAACCAAGGGGCCTAAGGCGGGCCCCTTGATACTCATCTGACCTTAATTTAATGCCTAAAACCCCTGAGCTTCCGGGGGCTCCGCCCCCTGAATCCCACGACAATTAGTGACCTGCCAGTGTCACAATAAGGTCCCCCCCCCCCAAAAAAAAAAAAAGAGAAGAGAAAAAGAGGACATAGGAAGAAAAAGGAGCAGAAAAGGAACATTTTTGAAATTCAGACAAGGATGAAGAGTCGACAACGGTACAACAAATTGTCTTCTTTCTCTAATGATTTAATGAAACGTAAAAGCTTCCGCGCTTCGCGTATGAGGGAAGGGGAAACTAACCCCTCCCTGCACCCTCCCCCCTATGGAACGCGATACGCGCGCCCTGTAAGTGATTCGCATGCATCGCATCCTCAAATAAAATCCTAGCTACGCGCTTATCTGACCGTAATTAAATGCCTTAAACCCCTGAGCCTCTGGGTCTCTGCCCCCTGGCCCCTACCAGGGGGCTTAAGGCAGACCCCTGAATGCTTATCTGACCGTTATAAAATGACTCAAATCCCTGAGTTTCATGAGGCTCAGCCCCCTTGACCCTACGTTATACGCCAATTAATAACCTGCCAATGTCATGATCGAATAATTCAAAATATGCTCATCTGCCCGTAATTATATGCCCATACCCCTGAGCTTCCGGGGGCTCCGCCCCTTGCCCCCCGTCGGGGCTTTGCCTTTAGACCCCATGCCAATTTACGCTACGCTCTACCTGATCGTAAATACTTTAGCCTCCCCCGACCCACTTTGAAAAAAGTTCAGCGGGGCCTACATGTAAGAGAATGGGAGTAGAGATTGTGCACATAGTGGATTCTTAGATTCTTTTAAATCCTCCCTAAAGACATTCATTTGTATTTCTCCCTGTTAGTCTGTAGCTTTAATGTGTTATTCACGGTAGATGGAATATAATTGCCTTAATTTGAATTTGTAATATTTTGCCCTAAAATTAATTGTATTCTATTGTATTTATATGTATGGACTAGATGTATCTGTGCTTATGTATTTTGAATTAATTGTAGGTTGATTAGTATATATTAATTCTAGTTTGTAAATATGATATTGAATGTATTATTATCTAAGTATTGCCAACTTTGTAAAGCGCTTAGAAACATTGTAATAAGCGCTATAGAAATATAATGTATTATTATTAATCATTGTTATTGTGAAAGATAAATACAATAGTATAAACAATGAATATTTCACCTATGTCACCTGTAAATTATTTTTGTTTGATGTGTTTGTTTAAGCTTAGTGGCTGCTGAGAAAGTCTGTGTATTGCAACCAGGGGACCGATATCTTAACTCTTATCATGCCACAGGGCTAATCCCCATTGTGCCAAGCCCCAAATCCCTCAGTGCCAAGTTTATATTGAGATAATCTGATTAACGCGATGGTTCTATGAATAGCGCGTGCAAAACACACATCACACTACAATGAGCATGAACAATAACTGCTACTACAAAAGTGTACACGCACGCACAAGGCACCATAGCAGTAGTTTGCTCGCATGAACAAAGCACCATAACGATAGCGTGCATGCAGCCACATGGCAGGCTATGAGTTAAAATCCTCTCTGGAGGACTTGGTAATGAGGATTAATGCCTTACCAAAGGGCATGAGCGCATATGCAAACCTGGGACGTCTACATTACAAGTCCACTGCTCTCCCACTGAGCCATCACACCTCCTATTACAACTAATACACAGGCAAATACACCATACTCATACAAATAGCTCATATACAGTAGGCTTGCGGGTGCACCATGTGAGAGAGAGAGAGAGAGAGAGAGAATTGAGGAGTCCTGAAAGGGACTCTGACTCGGTAATCTTTCTTGGGGGTGTGTAGTCCTGAAAAGGACTGTTTATTATCTTTCTTAGCTTATAGTTTTAAGGAGAACTATAGCGCTTGGAGATGGATGAGTGGCTCGACGTTTCGAACAGGTTGACTATCAGTCGTCAGGAGTGCACCCGCAAGCCTACTGTATATCTACATCACCATGCAAGCCGACACTTACAAGTAGCAAATAGCTCAGTTACACACGATCTGACACAGATAATACAAAATGACAAATGAGAAGTGAGATATTCCCCCACCATTTATTAAATTAATGCAGATAAAAGCAACTTTCCTGAAAAAATATTATATTGAATCTACCCTTGTAACTTGTCATTGTATTACATCAAAATGAATTCTCCATAAATATGAATATAAAAAGATTATTAAAAAAAAGAAAGAGTATAAATGACATTCAAATGATAAATTGTCTACTTCTAATATATATAAATATATATGGAATGGGTCTCGAGAATATATTTTAAAAGAAGAAGTAAGCTTCTAATGCACTTTAAGAGCATAATATTGTCTCCTAATGAAGTGACAAACGGGTATCACACATGCATTTAGTTTTATCAAAGCATCAAGCCCATCTCAAGTTCCCTTTTACACGTATTGAAAATGCGACAACAGTCATCAGAAATATGTGTAGAGCATTATGAGACATTACCCAAACTTAACATTACAGATATACTGCGTTAAAACTAAGACATGGTTTAGCACAATATAAGAAAAAAAATGAGTTGAAATTCATCATGTTAACCATCATACAAAAAGGATACAAAAAGGATACAAATAAGACAGTTAATTTAAAAAAATGCTATTTTATTTGATAAGACGAACCATACATGTATGTATAATAAACGTACATATTATGTAATTGAACATTTTTGCTACGAATGGATGGCTTTGGAACTTCACACATACATGTGGCACATTAAATTCACTTCAATATTGAAGAAGAAAAAAATTGCACTAACAGTTTCTAATTGAACGAGTACAATTCACTTTCTAAATCTCAACATTTCTTTATAGAGTCCGTTCATCAGCAAGGAAAAGAAAGAGAAAAAAAAAGAAGAAAAAAAAAGAGAAAAAGTGAGGAATAAAGTTGATCTGCTAACCTTTTAGCACTACAGAAAATCATATAATACAGGTATCACCCTTCACCAATTTATAATACAGGAAATACTATAAATTTGAAATACTGACAAATATCCTACAGAATATTAGAAAAATAGAGACTTATAACAAACATAATATGAAAACGTACATTTGGATACAGGATATATGTATGTATGATAAATTCACAAAGGAATAACTTTCATTGCATTTTGTAGGTGTAAAAAATGAGAAATTATTAAGGACTTGGCAAAAAGATAGTACTCGTAACAAAATGAAATGATGCAAAGATGCAATACCTCCTCAACGAATACATTAGTCCAAATATAAACAAATTATTCTAAACATAATCTCTGATAAATGGGAGCCCCTTGAATAAATGTATTTGGTTTAAAAAGTACCAACAAAATTAACGTAGAAAACTAATCAATATATATAGATACACAATGTTTACCGTAAATGAAAAGCCAAGAATTTTTCTTTGCATGATAAAACTGTAAGACTAATTCTTTATGAAAGACACAGAATGAAAGACATAAACCAATTTATAATCACAAATTAAACAATGAGATATATCTCATATTGTGATATGTAGTTTGCTGAGTATATATATATTTTTTCCATTATAAAAATTCATATAAATTCAGTCTCACCAGAAAAAAAATCTCCATTAAAAAATCTGACATGATTCTCTAAACAGTGAATAATATTTTTTAACAAACCATTTTGTTCACACGTCACAGAATCACCTAAACAGTTTCATACCCGTTTCTATATTAAAATAATCACATGGTTTTTTTTTGACAATCAAAGCCTTATTCAGATATGCACAGGTATACTGTGTCGTTTATAAAAAGAACTGGGGGGTGTTTCAAAAAGATCCTAAGTAAAACTTAACTCTAAGTTGGACTTAAAAATTATGGACAGCCATTGGAGTCTTAAAATGAAATATATTCAAAAGCAGAAATTTAAGTATTTTAGACTTTTTTTATAAATTCCAAATCCAGAACATGAAATCTCCTTGATGATAGAAAATATGAATGATTTGAATCAACATTTTATGCCTTTCAAAATAACTTTTACAAAATATTTTCAAAGATGCTAACGGCTTTCCATAATTTTTAAGTCCAACTTAGAGATAAGTTCAACTTAGAATCTTTGTGAAACACCCCCCTGAAGACGTAAAGTGTATTATGCTTCACATTGCCTATTGGATAGCATAAAGCTACATGTAAGTTTAATGCATAAGACCATTGTTGCGTGCAGTTTACATTCGTTTAAACATAAGGAAACCGCAGCAGTTTATACGCGGTGGCATACCCGGTCATATGTGAACGAGCATTTTTTATTTTATTTACTAGAAATGCAGAGTTAACCCAATCGAATCTCATGGAGTGTCTCTGGGTGTAGTAAAAGTCCATTCTGGAGTATGATCCTTATTGCTCCTCGATCAAGGAAAGCACGGTACGATGAAGATAGATGTATTGGTACTGCAATGAGAATATCAAAACAGGATAAAAGTTAAGTCATATATAAGCGAGAGGCTGAGGGAGAGAGAGAGAGAGACAAAAAAGAGAAAGAGAGGAAGAGAAAAATAGAGAGAAATTCAAAGAGAAAAAGAGAAAGGGATGGAGAGAGAGAGAGAAAAAAAAAGATAGAGAGAGAGAGAGATGGATAGAGAGAGATATAGACAGAGATAGAGGGAGAGAGAGAATATACACATAAGGGCCACTGTATTGCTCTTGCTTTAATATGTGGATTAAAAATCATGTATGACTATTTACATGTGTATGTACCGCATACATACATAAGTATACATTGTATACATGGACAGAAGATGAGATAACATTAAAATTGTAGGGACTCGCCCAAAATAAAATATTGAATTTATTTTCTTATTTTCTGTGGGAAAGAAAATAGGAGAAACTTTTCTTCACATGACCATATGTGGCAAACCTAGGTTAAAGTCTGATCAAAGGAATGTATGCACTTTGAAGTGCCAGCCAGGCTGGAACCTACCACCTTGGCGTATCCAGTTAAGTGATTAAATCACTCAACCACCAGAAATCTATTTTTCTAGTCTTCAATTCCATCATGTTCATCTACGTGTCCGAATGTAGAATTCAGTTTGCGAAATTAAGACAGGAGAGATATTATTCATTGTCCCTTACCAGTGTTTGAACCAAGAGGGCTCTTTGCTCTCTGATCTTCGCTATAGTACCAGCAACGTCAATGTAGTCGGTAGCAGTGGATCGTTGTATGGCATCCATTAACATATCAGCAGCGATGAACGTTCCTGTCCTGCCAACACCAGCACTGCAACAAAAACAATGAAGACATATAAGAAATGTAGTCGAACCGTCAATTTGTTTTATATGTTGAGCCTTGCTCGCTCTCTTATAACCCATTATTCATAAGTCCTTTTCAGGACTCCAGTCATGAGTGAATACATCTCTCTCTGAACTTTCTCTACCTCTTACCCAACAATATCAAGTCCTCATCTCTACCTATGGTGGACTAATGAAACAAACGATGGACTACGAGAAGCTACTCTTGGTCAATGTAAATAAACATGTATACCTACTGTATATGATCTGCTTTGGGTAGGAAATATACATGTATGAAGTATACTCTCATGATAATTGCTCAGTGGTTGAGTTTTAACACTATACCAAATTCCCAACTTTTATCTGTTATCGGTTGCACAGCACATGTTCCTACAGCAACTGGGGGGTGTTTCACAAAGATTCTAAGTCAAACTTAACTCTAAGTTGGACTTGAAATTATGGAGAGCCATTTGTAGCCCAAAAAATCGAATATATTCACAAGCAAAAATTCAAGTATTTTAGACTTTTCATAAATTCCACATCAAGAACATGAAATCTCCCATGATAATAGAAAATATGAATGATTTGAACTAACATATTATGCCATTAAAAACGAATTGTACAAGATATTTCAAAGATGCTAACAGCTTTCCATAATTGTTAAGTCCAGCTTAGTGGATAAGTTCAACTTAGGATCTTTGTGAAACACTCCCCTGGTCTGGAATTGATTTCCTGACCTCAACCACGGACCAAATACACTATCTATATACATGTAATCCTAACCCTACAAGGTCACATAAAACCCAATTACAACCTCAACCCTAGTCCAGCGCAAATCATCCATTGGAGCCAGAAGGGTGTTAACTCATAAGTATTGAACACAGAATTAATACCCTTTTGCCTCCTAACAGACGAAATGATGGATCAGCATTTGTTGTCACTTACCTGCAGTGGACGACGATCGGACCGGTTGCTGCCCCATCTTCCTGGTTAGTCACTTTGACCTGACGGAGTAGCCCCACTAGAGGGGCAGTGGACTCGGGCACGCCATGGTCGGTCCAGGCGAGGTACTGGTAGTGGGTCACGGTGCGTTCTGTACCCTCCTGTTTGGGTGGGAGCAGAATAGATTTTTAGTATATTTCATGAACAGTCAAGCTTTACGATGATTGCGATATTTCGGCATAGGACAAAACATTGCAGACTGACAACTTTTTGGGTGGCTATTCCCTAATTATTCCCTGATTTGAGTGAATTTCCCGCAGTTTAATTATTTTTTACTTTCTTAACAAGAAAACAAAAAAGGGTTTTCACTGATTTCCAGGATAGCTGGGAATCCTATGAAATGTGATATTCATATAAGCCCTTACCTTTTCTAGGAGAAGTGTGCGTTCGATGAAGTTCTCGGTCTGGTTACTGCCAACAAGGGTGACAGTCACGTTGCCATGCAGTTGAGGCTCTTCTCCAGCTGGCCAGTAGTGCTCGCATTTGGTCTGCAAGAAGGAAAGCATTTCATTTCATTAGGTATTATTTTCTAGCAATAGTTTGCAGATTTACCTTATTTATTGTGCTGATATCAATATCACCAAACATGAAATCAATATAACAATGATGGTGCTAATTTATGGTTGCCAACATCATCATCATCCTCATATTTGTTATTTTCACCACCACTATCATCATCACCATTGTCCTCATAATAATCATCACCACCACCACCACCTCCACCAAAAGACGTTAAAAAACGGGAGTTGCTGCTACCTTGTTTGGCGTTCAACAATAAAGGGGATAGAGCAACGTCGATCTGGCGCTGCATGCTCAGTGGCTGCCAGGCTCACGATCAATTGGTCAAAAAGAATTTCCATTTTTGGTTTAACTTAATAAAACTTGGAGTGGATTATTATTATTATTATTATTATCATCATCATCATTATCCTAACCTTTTCTTGTCTAACTAATGCAATTACTACCATCATCATCATCATCATCATCATCCTCACTACCATCAGTATCACTATCACCACCATTATCATCATCATCATGATATCATTATGAATTGGAAAACGTATATATGTAAAAAAATCTGAAAGAAAAACCTTTTACAAAGTGTTTGGTTGTTTATTTCTTCTAAATTATTTTGCCAAGTAAATCTATGATATTTCAAAAATAAACTGCAATTTGTAACTGATATTTATAAATGTATGTTCCTATCACATTTTGAATGGCCAAGAATATAATTTCGAAATTCTGCATGTATGTATCGATTCTTGTATACATTAAACGAACGACATTATTTAATAAAGGAACCTTGTGGAAAGGGAAAAAAAATGATATCATCCTACACATCGTCCACTAACTAAAGCAACATCACCATCACTATGATCAATATAATAACAATAACTAAGACATTTATAATACACACTATATCCACGCTAATGGTACTCATGGCGCTTACAGTAAATAACTCAACATCATCCTCATCATCATCAATACCAACATCACCAACATCATCTTCCCCCTTACCTTTCCTCCTTCCACCAATGCAGTCATCATCACAATGGTACTGGTCTGGTTTTCCCAAACCATCTCCCAGAAGTGTTCAATGGTGTTTGGCAAGGGTCCTTGGGTCGCAATGTACTTCTTCTGTCCATGATCATCCTGAACATTAAAAAGAAACAAGGTCAGGGGAGTGTTTCACAAACACTAAGATCAACTTAAGTTGGATTTGAACTAAAGGAAGGCGATTTATGCCTTAAAAAGTCTTGAACCAGATGTAAAATTAGAGGAAAAAAACATAGAAATTATGCTGGGAGTAAATATTCGTATTCGACGCATGTCTTTGTCAGTGATGAAATTATATAACCTTATAGCATGTTCATGCGATGACAATACAAAAGTTATGTAATCCCATGTAATCCCACGATACTTAAACGATAAACAATGCATGCAAAAATGATCTTTAGATAATATTTTTTTAGCTTCAATTCATATTGTCTGATTCTGGCTTTCTGTTCATTCTTACGATTTATGGTAAATTTATGATTCACACATGTTATCTTTTTTCCGCTTTGAGCCTTTGTTCATTTAGCTTTCATTAATATTGTCTGATTCTGGCTTTCTGTTAATTCTTATGATTTCATGTGAATATATGATTCACAGGACGTTATCTTTTGTGCGCTTTGTTCCTTTAGCTTCCATTCATATTGTCTGATTATGGCTTTTTTGTTCATTCGTGCAATATACAGTGATGAATACAAGATGAAAAGTATGCCTGTATTCGTTACTATTCTTTGATGGTAATAACAATTGTTTGCTATGGTTAGAGATTTACCTTAATGTAACTTGCATTGATGTAATCGGTACCGGCTACTCCTTTCAGTTGGACTCTGGTGTAGTCATCTGCAGGAAAGAAAGAAAATTAAAGATATACATGTTTTTGATGTGATCAAAGTTTTACATTAAGTTTAAAGAAAACAAAAGATAAACATATTAATGTTTTAATGGGTAAAAGTAAAGAAAAGAGAAAAAAAGCTTCTTAAAATTTGCAGTTAACAATTAAATCATTCACACCCTTACCATGTTTTGTAATTTTGTGAACTATTTCAAAACTTGCTTTCTGTCCCGATTTATATTTCTTGAGAATGTGACATATAAGCTTACATCTAAGAGTAATCAACAAAGACTTAATTACGTCAGTCCACCTTTCATTCTTGAGTAACGGAAAGCACAAAAACATCAAATTTAGAAGTATGAAATTTCAGTTATTAACTCTTATCCTGCCATAATAAATACAGCCTAATGCCACAGGGCTAATCCCCATTGTGCCAAGCCTCAAATCCCCCTGTGCAAAGTTAATTTTGAGATAATCGGATTAACACAATGGTACTATCAATAGCGTCTGCGAATCACTAGGCACAGTGCAATGGACATTAACAATAACTGCCATTACAATTGCGAGTATGCATGCACAAAGCAGATAAGCGGTAGCTCGCTCGCATGAATGAAGCAATCAGTCAATAGCACGCTCGTGTGTACAAAGCACTATAACGGTAGCGTGCAAGCAGCCTTATGGCAGGATATGAGTTAACTGTACATGTAAGGCATGTATGTCAAACCTTAACGCATGTCTCCTCTGGTTTTCTTCATTTGACAAATTTACCTTTGTTAATGGAACAATGTCAATATTTATGCTTGCAACATATCCTTAGATAAGTATTTTTAGAAAAATGAAACTTTGAATATAAAACACTGAGAAGAACCTAAAATCTGAATTACTTACAAGGCAAGATGTTCCTGTATCTGTTCTTATCATCATTTCTGGCCTGTCGAGCCGCAGTCACCGCTCGAGTCTTTTCCATCGCTGGCAAATTCTGAATGAAATTATTGAAATATCCACATTCATTATTTAAACAATCTAATAGAAAGGAAAATACTTTGAATTTATTTATTCATTTAAAAATTCTTTTTTATTTATGTGCAGCTAATTCACTCACACGGAACAGCAGGGTTATGACCTCATTCACTTTGCCAAACCGGAAAGTTATTTAAGCCAATGGTGGTAACGTGTTTGTCTGTTCGGTTTGTAGTTGGTCTAGTGTCTGTCTTGTTGGCGTGAGTGAGGTATTAGGGATGCAAGAGGGTTCTAGGTTACATACTGGGTTATAGGTTTCTTTATGAGTTTTAGGTAACATTACAGGTTTTAGGTTACATTACGGGTTTAAGGTTACATATAGGGTTATAAGTTACATAATAATACAATTCCTCTTATATATAGGGTTTTGGGTTACATTTAAGGTTTTGGGTTACATAACTGGTTATAGGTTACATAGAGGATTTTAGGTTACATACAGGGTTTTAGGTTACATTACAGGATTTGGGTTTCATTACATGTTTTAGGTTACATATGGGGTTCTAGGTTACATTACAGGTATTAGGTTAAATATAGGCTTTTGGGTTATATTTAGGGTTTTGGGTTACATTTAGGGTTTTAGGTTTATACATACAGGTTGTAGGTTATGGTCAATCAGTGTAGTATTTTGAACATAGAGCAAAGGTTGCCAGGGCACATGTCATTCAAACCATTGAAAAACCCATCTTTTAAAGGTGAAATGAATCATCCTATGTAATTATCTTAAATCAATAATTGAACAAAACAAATATAAATGCATGAAAAAATTAAAATTAATTATAAATAATTAAGAAAATGAATAAGAAAATAAATAAATAAATAAACAAAACTGTGAACACTTACATTATATTCATCACTGAATCCAGCATTGTTGCGAGCAGACATCTTGGCAACGTGTTGGGCAAACATATTCTTCTTGGTAGGACTGGATATGAACATAGCATGTAGCAAAAATAATTAAAATTGTGAATCTTCAAGTCAAATCATTTTATTCAAATCTGTAGAAATATAAATAAACACAATCAATAATAAACTTAAGTTATAACTCATACGAAGCCGACATCTGTCATACACACACGCTTTGTCTGTGGAACAATTAGGTTACAAAAATACAATAGGTTATTGTGCCTTCTGGTTTACAGAGTAAATAAATGACAAGGTAAAATGTCTGGAAAAAAATTACTGTGTATGTAAATGGCAATTGGGAGAACAAAACATCCTCACACGACGATTGCCCCATCCAATACATTTTGTCCCTGATCTGAGAAAGATGATACAGATATGGGATGAGCCCTCTGCCCATCCAATTTAATCTCCCCACACCGATATATTTAAAAGGATTGTACTGCCATAGATGTAAATGTATGCTTAAACAGGTTTTACTGGAGCCTGATCGTGTACAAGCTCTGCTTTTCAGTTACACTCTTTAGATTTTATTCTTTAAAAAAAATATTTCGTCTTGCATCTATACTCCCCTCAAAACACTCTCCTTATTTACCATGCATGGTACTGTACTTGAGTTAAGTGATCTACCTGTACAGTACTGTTTTGCTACTCTCTTGCTTGTATGAATCTTAATTTAAGTGGTAGCTTACCGGGTATGCGTGGTGGAAGGTTGGTGAACTTGGGCTGTGGTTCCCCTGTTAGGTGGTATCGTGGAGTAATCGGGTATATTCGTGAACGAGTGCTCCATTATTTGTGGCTGCTGGTATGCGTACGTATTTACTCCTTCGTTGATTAGCGCCCTCTTCATAATGCCGTTGCCATTGCCATTGATGTAGCCGTTGCCGTTGCCATTGCTGTAGTCATTGCCATATCCATTACTGTCATCAGAGTACATACCATCATCCGGTTTTCCGCAGCTGTTATTGTAAGGTGCAAAAGCGAAATTGTTCTTAGGATAGTTCTGAATGAAAAAATTGGGCATTAGGACACACCCCTTTTCAGCCCTATTGACTAAAAGGTAAATAAAATAGTCATATAATTGCGATTAAACTATCTATTGTTGTCCCAATGGTACACGCCACCATCTGGCTTACCACAGCTGCAACAGAAACAAAAATGAAATCTTTTCTCAGGATAATTTTGAATCAGAAAATTGGACATTAGAATGCACTTCTTATAGCCTGTTTTTTTTATACACTGTTGTGTTTGAAGTATATGCCATTCACTGGTTTTCCACAACTGTTGGGAAAAATGGGGACATATTTCAATGAAATCATTCTAGGGCAATTATGGATTGGAAAATTGGATATTTAAAAAACCTTAAAAAAAAAACATTCCTTAACCCTTACTGTACTGGAGGGGGCCTGGGAGGCCCCCCCCCCTCAACATTTTTGGAGATTGCGCCGCAACCGCTTGGAATTTTGAATTGTCGTTTCATGACTTTTCCCCTTCGAGTCTTACGCACATTTTGATACCATTTTCGTCGAAATCGGATATACCTGTAAGGTGTTACATAACAATTAGTATGTGCATGTCATCAAAAATATGCTATAATTGCATATATTCATGTACAAGCAGAAATGTGAATACTGAATTGATATCAAATTGCTTTTATATGTTTCTCAAAGTAACTTGATGTATTCCAGAACAAAAGAATACATTAGAAATAAAACATTAGATATAATAAGAAATAAAAAACAATAAAATACAAAAGAAAATAAATATTTGAAAATCGCATCAAATTTGCATAAATTATCATTATTAATTACTTCAGATTAACTATTTTGTGTTAGAAAAGAAGTTTCATATAGATAATTGGTTTCAATTAACATTCAAAAAGGGGAGTATGACAATTTTTGTAATGATTCTAGTTCCCTGTATATTTCTAGATTTGATATTCCTGAATGCGTATTCATAATTTATGCAAATTAACCTATGTATTTCCAAATATCATAAAATAATGTAACCTCTTCACAAGTCTACAGACAAATATGAAGAGTTTTCTGTAAGATGCATAAAATTAGCATTTTGCATAATTAATTAGGCTTTAACGACATAAATTTGCATATTAGGAAAAAACCTAATTATACCATCTTGTTCCTTACGTAAATATCTACAAACATGCAAATTTTCACGTTCATCGGACTTTCGACGGCCGAGATCATAGGAGGGGGCCTCCCAGGCCCCCCCCCCCCCCCCCCCCCAGTCACGAGGTGCTCAAAATAGCCCAGTACAGTAAAGGTTAAAGTTTAAAGGAGAGTGATTGTAGTTTGAAACTAAAGAAAATTACACGGATATGTTCCATGAGTCTGTTTGTCAATGTATTTTTCTCTTGCTAAATGCCTAGGTTACAAGAAAACTTTTTAATTTTTATGTCAGTTTGTTTCATGATTTTCCAAATGCATGCATTTCCCATTGAAGCTTCTACCCTACAATGCACTCTTGGTTCGAAGTATGCATTTTAATTTCAATGTCACCTCGATACTGTCTTGATGCTGCTGCGATGTGGAGGAAAGTAATAGAAACACAGTGAGAAATTTGAAATTTTGTAGCCAAAATTTTCTTGGGCCTTTGCATTGTTAATCTTTTCCCCCCTAAAACGCGTGGGAAACGCAGTGTAGCTATACATGTATCAACGTCACTTTGGATCCAATTCAAATCATGCATTCCAAGATCGATGTTAGAACGTCTGTCCAGTTTTCACATCGCAATGGACAAGCATGGGTTGAACGCATTGGTGTGACATAGGCATACCTGACGCAAAGATGGTTATAGTTATCTACCAAAATGTACCCCCAACACACTAGGCGCGTCTTCATCATCTCGAGATTGCCAAATAGCCGGCTATTTCTGATTTGGGAAATAATACCGAAGTTACAAATCGCGTCTTCATCAGCTTGAGATTTGACCTCGAAACTTGAAACTCGACCTTGAGAAATAAGCTCAAGATATTTTGCTCAGCGTTTGCGCATAGTGTGAGTCTTCGGTCTGGTGAAGACGCACTGGACAAATAGCTGGATATTTTTCAAACTATCCCAAGATATCTTGGGATGACAATCCCGACCAAATATCCTTATAATTGCTACTTCGGGCTGATGAAGACGCAAATTAGCTGGATAGTTTGCAATCGGGATAGTTCAAATAGCGGGATATTTGGCCATCTCGAGCTAGTGAAGGCAGGCCTACTGTGAAAGTAGAGACTCACCATCCAAATCCCATGGCCATGAAGATGATGAGGATGATGACTACCATGATGGCAAGGACAATTGCCGGGATGACAAATATTCCTCTGTCGGGATCTGAAATCAATAGTGGATAGAGATAACTATAAGGCATCGTTTAACAATGTTAATTTTTTAAGATGCATGGCCCTACGTATTATCAGTGTCTGTAATATGGTATAATATTGATGCCCTAAAAAAATTGCACTTCAAAATAATCATGAAGTGCCTCACAAAAGTAGAAATCTTTGAGTGACCGGTTTTACCATAGTCATTTTTCACAATAGACAGTAGTATTATACAAACCATTAGGAAAATTAAATTTAAATTTCCCATCATAAATATCTTGATAATCAGACGATCAGGCGATCGGCTTGTAAAAGTCATGAGATTCCTGACTGACCTAAAGGTTTATGATTACGATTGCAGCATGAGCTCAATCCAAGATTTTGTTTCAGAATCTGAGGCAATGTCACCGAGGCACTTTAACAGCTGTAGAAAATGGAAAGAGACGTGTTGGACACGGTCTCATATTATGCCTGATAATTCATTGCGCCATCAGTGATTTCCTACAGTATGCGTTATTTCCAATGAAATATCTGACATGAATTCCAAATCGTGGCTATTTATCGACTCTGTCAATGCATATGCACAAAGCACAGAAAAACTTACATGGGTAAGGGATGGTGTTATACACAACTGGTTGTACATCAGTTTTCACCTCACATTGATACGATAACACCCATACATAACACATAACACATGTAGCTTGTATCATGTACATGTATATATATTTATATCTTCCTACTTATCAAATTAAAGACAAATATATCAATGTTGCTACAAATTTTAGAACACTGTGTACAAAACATGTAAAGGGTGTACATACCTGTTCTAAATGGAGAGCTGAATTCAGTATCCACAAACTTGCCGTCCACACCATACGCTCTAATAGCAAATCTGGTTTTAAAAAACACAGTGAAGAAAATTGTTTGATTTAAAAGTCATGAATATACCACATTACATTTACCTAATTCAGTTGAAATGCTAAGGCGTACATATACCGATAGTAGTTTGTCTCATTGTTAATACATGCGTGCCATGAGGCCTAAATCACCAAGCCCAAATTCTACTGAAATCTAAACCCAGACGCTGAACTTTAGCTTTCGTTCAAATTTCAAAAACTGTCAACCAATTCAAAACCTGTCTTAAAGCTAGTATCTGTACTAGTTTATAGGAGGGATTAGAGCACCCAGCATGGTCACTGTTATAGGCATTGTTTTCTATATAGAGAGAGCAAGTAGCTACAAGTAGGACAGTGTGGCTTTAAGACACATTTATTCAAAATTGCTTTTGATGCATCTAACTGACTCTGTTCACATTGATGTTTGTTTTATATGTATTGTAATTTTTTGTTTAATATATAATAGTTTGTCATTTTAATTTGTTTTTTATAGCAATTAAAGACTTTGGTTGAAAGCGCTTTATAAGCACGTTTTATTTTTATCATTATTATTATCAGGCTAAAAAAAATATTGTCTGAAGTCTAAGGTTCCTTTTGTTTGGCTTTTTCTTTTTTTGCCTGTTAAAAGAGATTTCTGACCAAAATGGACACCCAAAGTGCAATGACCTTTTCTTTCTTCTTTCAAATTTAACATGGCAGGCCGAGTATCTGATGATTTTTTTTTTTATTGTTGCTTATACAAGAATTTATGTCAGCCAAAACGGAACACCTAAATGTGACCTCAGTATTTGTTACACTTTCATGAAGCCAAAACAGCACACAAAAACCTGATGATCTTTTAATTTTGGTCGTCGCAAAATTCAGGGATTGTGCCACCACCCGAGAATAACAAATGTTACTATAAAGTGGGACTCTTTATGGTTATTTAAATTGAAATATGCTCGTGATAATTATTTGATACAATTCAACTTTAAATTTATGTATAATATTTTACCAACACCTGTTAATTTATTCAAATGGAAAATCAAAGAAAACAATTTGTGTTATTACTGTAATAAACCTGGTACTATTATACATGTATTTTTTGAATGCGAAAATATTTACCGATTTTGGAACGTTATCGAAATATTATTATGTAACTCCTTCTGTAAAGATTTTAAATTCTCACCCATTTGTGTTGTATATGGTTTTCATGACGCAAAAGAAAATGTTATAGATATTGATCTAATACTTCATTATGCTTTATTTGCAATCTATAAAGCGAGTGTTGGAAATCAATTTAATAAAAATGTAGTGACGAGAATAATAAGCAAATATTTTTTGTTTATGTTAGAATACAAAATAGAAGTTGAGGAAAACAGAACTAAAACAACGAATTTGAATATTATTAAGTGGAAGGAAACTATAACTAATTTAAAATCTGCTATTAAGTAAATAGAAATATAATTTGATTTGACCTCATTTAGACATGTAATTCAGTGATTTGTTATGAATATTTATGTACTATGATGTTATCCATGATTTTACCTGAATAAAGATTTATTTAAAAAAAAAAAAAAAAAAAAAAAACGGAACACCTAAATGTGACCTCAGTATTTGTTACACTTTCATGAAGCCAAAACAGCACACAAAAACCTGATGATCTTTTAATTTTGGTCGTCGCAAAATTCAGGGATTGTGCCACCACCCGAGAATCCTGGATATGCCACTGATGTATACTCTACCTGTAAGAGGTACCAGGGTAGAGAGCCCCATTGCAATAGGCAGTAAGATCATCAGGATCACAGGACTCTGACCCAACTCTGAAGGTGGTTACACCTGCCCCATCAGCAAAAGGGTTATAGTCATCGGGCGTGGTCTGGTAGGAGGGAACAGGGCGTGTCCTTCTGGCTTCAGCCCAGGTGAGTGAAGATGTGGTCTGACGTTTGGCTGTGATGACGACGGTACCTGCAGAACAAGAAGATGAACGATGAGAATTCGGGGACATCTTATATCTAAACCCCTACCATGCCACTAAGTTGACAAGCAGTTATCAAATTGTACTTTTATCACTCAACTTTCCCATTTCAATTCAGCGTTTCATTGTCAAACTGAGCATTTGATATATCTCATTATAAATCAGAAATACAAAGTCTAGCTATTCATAGTCCAGGGGGTGTTTCATAAAGAACCTAAGTCGAACTTAACTCTAAGTTGGACTTAAAACTATGGAGAGCCATTTGTAGGCTTAAAATTAAATATATTCACAAGCGAAAAATCTAGTGTTTTAGACAGATTTCCATAATTGTTACGTACAACTTAGAGATAAGTTCAACTTAGGATCTTTGTGAAACACCCCCCAGGAATTGCTCTTAAACAACAGACTACCACTGAGCTCTCTTAACCCAATAGCAACTAAACCGCCTGAAACGTTTTCCGTTTTCGTCTGTTTTTAACATGCTATAGTATCCGTTCTAGGGTCTACCTATAATGTTATACGTGCGCAATCCTACTTTGTCTACAGTAGAACTCTGCATATGTTTCATATTGTTCAGAAAAATGTCAAAATGAGAGCAATATTGCAACATCTTCCAGTGAGTAATAGGCTATTATTACAAAATCTCTAGTTGCTAATGGGTTTATGCCATGGCCAACAAATGCAATGATAGTTTGCAAAATCATGGCACAAAATGTCAAGAGAGACCTAAATACATATGCATGTACTATGTTCAATAGAGCACAGGATAATTTGACTACATGCAGAAGACACTCACTTTACGTGTTTCTTCACATCATGCTTCAAGGGCAATCAAAACCTTAAAAAAGCTTCATCGGCATAGAAGTTTGAAATATATCAGGCCAACAACAAGGAAGGTAGAAAGGTTTGAAATGTGAGATGACTACATCCTTGCGATTCTCAAAATGGCAATTTGGACAGTGGATTGTGACGTCCGATTAAACAACTCTCCCATTTGTTGTGTACAAAAATATCTGATTTTAATTCTCTTTTTAATTTCTCTGCTCTCAGCAGATGACATTATCATTAACACTTACCGCCATCAACACGTTCCTGCACAATGATTGCAAAGCGCACGATTCGTCCAAACGCAGTATCAAAGAGATTGAAAAAAGTGATGGTGATAGTGCTGCCTCGGGAGACCAACGAGGGAGTTGCACCACGAGGTGGAGACGGTGGAGCTATATAAAGAAAGAAAATAATGAAGATAAATGAACTTAACTGATTTTTCCCTATTTTTATGATATCTGAGCCCTGCATGTATCTTAACAAAACGTGCTTAAAAAGCGGGTTCCAAACCTTCATTGTAGACCCTCTTGTTTCCACAAGCATTTAACTACACATACACTGTAGATTGGTTGTGTGCCCGTAATGAACAAGCACTTTGAATTATATTTTTGTTTTACCAAAATTAAATGTTGATATTCATAAAGTAGTGGTGCTGCATCAATTCTTCTTCTTTCATTTTCTACTCTTCCTCATCTTCCTCTCCTTCTTCTTATCATCAATTTCATCATTATCATAATTATTATCATCACCACCGTTATTACTACTACACATACCTGTTTCAGCAAACAGGGTTCTGGTGGTCGACCTTTGATTACTAGACGCGACCTGGTTGGTAGCGTACACCGAGAAAACATAGTACTGCCCTGCAGCCAAGCCAATGACATCCTGTGAGTATTCTGTCTGCTCAGCCACAGCACTAATGGTGACAGTATCCCCATACTGTGTGTAAAAATAAAAGATTTGGATTTCCTCTTTACGAATAAAGGTCATTGCAGGCGCGATGGCTCAGCATTAGAGCAGTGGTCTTGGAATTGGGAGGTCCTAGGTCCAAAACCAGGTCGATATACTGGTGCACTTTGGTGAGGAACTTAATCCTCACTCCTAGTCTCTTGGCAAGGACTTTTTTCTAAAAAGAATGGGCTGTTTTGAACCTTTCAAAAAATAGGGGGGGGGGGGGGGGAGGGAGGGGGCTATAATAGGGCTGCCCCCCAAGATCTCGGCAACCCAAACTCTGATCGACTCCAAATTTGGCATGGTTATAGATGTTCATGAGGTCTACCATATTGCATACTTAAAATATTTTTTAGATTAGAATATGCTAATTAGAGCTAATTAATTATGCACAAATTGTATTTGTTTGTATTTTTCTTAATATATATGGTGATTCTTATGAAACAGAACTGTGTTCATGGTACAATATACATGCTAAGATTATATTTACACAATCTCTGATAAAAAATGGTAATTGATATGTCATAATTATCCAACTTATGAATAATTATGATATCATATTATATTTTTAATACGTGTTTTGGTCATGAAAGACATGTTAGAGTGCTGGTTTATTTGTCTTAATCATGAAAATTGTTAGTTTTTTTCTCTGCTTTTATCTTTTTCTTTGTTTTTCTTTGTATTATTTTTTATATATTGTATTGTTTTATGCAAATGAGAAACTTTTAATAACCATGCCAAATGTGAATACTAAAAGTTCATGTGAAAAGATCGGTATAAAACTGTAACATAAAAGATGCATCCAAAAACTCTGTACGTTATATATGGAAGAAAAAAAAAATCAAAATCAAGTGACACACGATCGCAAAATGTTACATAACACCCGGACCATTGACCCAGTATGCCCAAATTTGGTATCAAAGATGCGCGAGTCACGAAGGAAGAAAGTAACGAAGTGGCACTGTAATATATTTAAGCATTACAAAGTAATCACGAAAATAGAGGAGGGAGAGGCTAAATCAGCCCCCTTCCCCCCCCCCCCCCCCCTCCCAGTCTTTTTAGGGTTAAAGCCATCGGTCCCCCTGGTTGCTTACTTACAAGCAAGCAAAAGCTATTTCAAGCATTTTAATTCAGGTAAAGTAACCATGATCTCTCTCTCTCTATGTGCCATATCGATTGACTTGGGCGATCATGCTGTTCCACAACCCTCGCTTCCTAGCCTTCTGTATTAGTACCACTCCCAGCTCTTTCACTCCTCTCTCTTCAAACAATTTCTGCAGACTGTCCATCCAAAGTATCCTCCTTCTTTCCACAAATTTTCCCTGTCAAAGCAAGATTCTCTAGGCCTTCTTTACGTGTAATGTGACCCATGAACTTCAACTGCCTAATCAACATCTCACGTATCATTTTCCTTTGAACTCCAGCTCGTGTAAGAATTTCTTCATTACTAACTCTGTCAGTCCAGGGGATTTTCATCATTCTTCTTAAGAACCACATTTCGCAACTTTCCAAACGCTTTTTAGCATCAGAGGCTAAAGTCCATGTTTCACTACCATATATAAGTACTGGGTAGATGTAACAATTCAATACTCTTATTCTGGTCCTCATACTCATTGTTCAATTTGTCAGAATTTTGCCTAGCTTTGAAAATGAAGATTTAGCGAGAGCTATCCTTCTCTTGATCTCTGTCTCACATCTGGCATCCTCGGTGATCATGCTGCCGAGGTAGTTAAATGAGGAGACTTGTTTAATAATCTGTTCTTTCAGTTTCAATTTACATTTTGGACTGCTCTTCTTAGAGACCACCAGGCACTTTGTCTTGGTATAGTTGATCTCTAGTCCCATTCTCTCACTTTCTTTTACAACTACATTCAGGAGTCTCTGGAGATCTTTCTGACCCCTCATAATAAGTGCTATGGCTAGGATTTGAACCCCTGACTCTCTTAGTCTAACACACAACCCACTAGGCCCATGCCACTTTTACATGCAGTGTAAAAACTTGAAGATAAATATGATTTCTAATAGCAGTCAGGTATAAAACAATATCAAACAATTAAAAACTTGAATGCTTGAATAAACTTACTGGAGAGAGGGTGCCATTGTCATGTGAGATGTGAATGGTCAGGGAGTAGTTGGCAATGACGCCATTTGGAAGCAAAGGAGAAGACCAGCTGACCTCAGCATCAACGATACCAGTCTTGGTGATGGTCAGTCCACCGACCGCACTAGGCACTGGGAAGATTCAAAGGGAAAGATTTATTAGTAAAAGATAGTAATAATAATTACAGCAACAACACCAACGGCAACAATAACAGTGGATTTCTTGTGCAACGCTCATGTCTGTCAGATATACATCTCCTGGCACTCCACAATTATTAAATAATTAAATAACACTACAGTCAAACCTGTCTATTAAGGTCACCCAAGGGATACAAAAAAGTGGCCGCTGTATACAAGTGGCCTTTCTATACAGGTTTTACAACACACATTTCTCAAGATACATGGCTACTAAAGACCGGTGGCCTTTACAGAAAGGCGGCCACTTCAAAAGGTTTGACTGTACTACTACTAATACCACTACTACTACCAATTTTCGTGCCAATTGTCAGGTCGGTTGTACGACTCTTGCTCCTTTAATAATTGCTCCCCAGTAATGTCCTACACTAACCCAATTCCTAACTTCACCCATGGACCCAACACAATACTTAATCCAACCTCCAATTCTAAATATAACCAAAAATCAAATTGCAATCCTAACCCTTAATACACCAACCAGTACCTTGGATGAAAGAAAGCCAGACAAAGAGACAAGCCAGTTTGTCTACCGGTATTCCCAAATGGTCTACACCCAGGCCGTCTACTATCCTTGTGGTCTAATAATCATTTCGTCAACTTATCATTAGGTCTAATGACCATTTAGGCTAAGAGTCGCTTGGTCTAATTTCCATTTGGTCTAAGAAACTGGCCCCCAAATTCTAACTTACTTGACGGCAGTGTTGTTACTGGCAGTGCACTGACAGGATCGCTAGGTACATTGAAGAAGACAGCTTGGAGAACAGCGAAATAAGCAGTGTATGAGGCCAGATTCTCTTCTGTATAACTCATCAAGCCTTCTTGTACCTTTATCAAGATATCATAATATTGATACATGTATTAAATATAAAAATTATAATGATAATGATGGTGATGATGGCAGTAATAGAAATAATAGCAATAATAATAATAACAATATTACTACTAATAATAATCATAATAACAAGAATACTACTACTAAATCATGGTTATGATAATAATAGTACTACTTTTAATTATAATGACAATAATATAACCTAACAACAAGACCGATAATAATAAATTTAATAATGATTATAATAATTGGTGTAATAACAATAATTGTAATAAAAATAATAAAGGCAACAATAAAAATACTGTTATTAATAATGATAACAAACAACAATAATAATAATATATAATATAACATCAATAATGATACTGATATTAATAATAATAATAACAATAATAATTATAATAATAATAATAATAATCTTCCTTTATACAGTTTTTGCAACCAAGATACACTCAAGCTTTGCTTATGATTGCGGTCTCCTGCACTTTTCCAACAGAATAGTTTGAATAATACTTTAAATTTATGATAATATGTTATGGACACATTAAGTTTTGTTATTATATGTACATATATGTTGTATTATACATAACATTTATATGTTCTTTGTTATTCAGTTATATTGTATTTGGAAAAATGCAGAAATAATATTTTTTAAAAATGAAAATATCTTACAATTTGTGTGTTGATGTTAGCGCCTGTGTTATCTTTGATTGAGATTACAAAATTGGTAACAATCGTAGATGGCGAGCTCCATGTCCATGTAATAGATGTAGCCATAACCTCGCTTCCTGTAAAAGATGGGCTGTATGGCTCTGAAAGATTCGTAATCAAAGAGAGATGTTAAAGATAAAGACCAGTTGCGATTGCATTGTGAAAGAAACGTTGTGGAATCGATCAGAAAAGGTTGATCATCTAGCATTTAAGTATTGGTGTGTACTGCAAGGTTCTGGAATAATCAAAATGATAAGAAATTTGGCCCATTCTTTGTAAAGTTACAAGCACTGCACACAGAAAGATGTATATGGGACTACGCACACGTGTGCGACACGTGCGTTTATCTTTCATAGGCCAATAGATAAACTGATTTACCAAATATATCAATTAGTTGGCGGTTTCCCGGCAAAATTGTTATCATGTATTAGTCAAAACATAGTCTTTAACATGATTGGTAATAAGAGATTCCATTTCATTTTTTGAAATTGGGGCGTTTCCAATACTGGTCTTTAACTTAATAACACAGAATTAAAATCCAGAAACTTTAACAAATCTGCAGCCATTTTGTTATCGTAAAAGCTTGTGACTGTATGAATTGCAAAAATTTAGGATTGGAATCCTATAATTTTTCAGTATGATATTTTGTAAATCTGGACTGTCAATGAAATTTGCATAAAAGTATCTGGTTTTAACACTTTTGAGACGACGGGCTTCTACAGAAGCCGAGCGAGTTGTTAAGTCTGTGACGACGGGCTTCTATATAAGCCGAGATGTATCCCTAATATTTTGACAAAGTTTTCCAGCTTATTTATTAGCTATAATGTGCTTAAGTTCTTTGAATTATTATTTAGATATATTCATATATATGCTTGCGCAATTTGTATTGTGAGTGTATTGAAAAGGAAAGACGTGAAGCTTCAGCAAAATAAGACGGCAATTTCCCTCAAAAATAACAGACCTTATTTTTCGTATTGATGAACAAAACTCTTTTTTTTTTAAAGAAAAAAGTCTGATCTTTCATTTTTACATTTACTAAAAATCACGAAAATGACAGAATGAGGTGCGATGGGCAATGCAAGTAGAAAGCACCGCCAAATTTTCCATTACTGGCGATGTAACCAAAATCGCTCTGTCACAGGGGAAACAATCGTCGTGCGCTGGCTTGCTCTCAAAGGGTTATAGTAACATTCTTGGGAGTCATTACGGTAAGCATAAAGTGACATTCAGCAACTTCAGGTAAAAAGTCTTTGTAGGAATGGAAAAGCCCTTACTGTACTTGGATAGTAAAATCTGAACAAGTCAACGCAAAGTGTAGCAATAGCATCCCCTTGCAAGATACAAATGGCCTATATACGTCAGAACAAGTTACTTCCATTGGACTATACTATTATATTACTAGGCAAGGAAGTTGAACCCCATTTTCACATATATAATTAGGTGTTTTTGCTTATTTAATGAGCTATGACCTTTCACCTACATACTCAGAAATCGAACTGATGCTCAACATCTATTTTGATACCATGTACCTTCATATTAAATTTCACTAAAATCCGTCAAACATTACTGAAGTTATCGATCGGAAACCAAATTTGTTACGGACGGACGCACAGAAGCATGGAAGCCTGGAAGGATGGACAGAAGCGTTACTGTATCCCCTTTGACTTCGTCGGCGAGGGGATAAAAAGTCAAGATGTCGAGATTTGATGTGAATTCTCATTAAAATGTTGAACTCAACACCGACTCCATGAATGCTCAGTCAAAGTAATAACTAATACTTTAATGTAGAGGTTGATCTGCATGGCTCCTAACTAAACTGAGATCAAATGTAGACTGAGAATTCAGTTTGAGATTTCTACTGAATTTAGGTGCAATGTGCCTCAATTAAGGAAGCCACGGACTTACTTGTGACGATATTAACTGTTACGACATCACTGGAGCTTGTTTCGCTTCCTTCCGTCTGATCGCTTTCTGCCCACAGGCGGAACTCGTAACGCGTGCTGGGTGTGAGATTGGACAGCTGGATGGAGGTGTCGGTTGTTGTGGTGGTTTCGCTGGCCGTGACCGTGAAGCCCGGAAGGCCGTAGGTGTAACTGTATCGTGCAACCACACCCTCGCTTGGCTGCCATGTTACAGTTACTCGTGTCAATTCGTTGTTGCTTACGGAGATGTCAGATGGTGAGGCAGGTTCTGAATGAATATAGGATGTAAAGGGGCAGAATTAGGAAAAATACCCACTGAAGTCTACTTTACCAAAACAAAATGACATGATAAAAATGTACCAATCACGTCCAAATCTAACGAAATTAACACTGAATGTTCAAGATTACAAATAAATGTCATGTGCCAAACAATTTCGGAAGAAAATGTATACTGGCGGAGTAATGAGCATAGAAAGTAAGGAAATCAGGGTAGTACTAGCCCCGACACCATGTGCATTGTCCCATATACATCTTTCTGTGTAAGTGATTGTTACTTTACCAAGACTCTGCCAAATTTATAATAATTTTGATGACTCCAGAACCTTGCATTACACACCATTATGATATGATCAACTTTTCTGATCCATTCCACACCTTTTCTTTCACAATGCAATCGCATTACCAGTACTCAAGTTTATCTTTAAGCAATGAACAGGAATGTCATTTGAGCAGCTAACTAGAACAGCTGAAGACAGGAATTTACAGAGAACCTGTGTCTCTCTCTATGAGACATAGATAGAGAGATGTAATAAAGTTGTATCACTAGCTTTTTCAAAACTACAGAATATATAGTCAAACCTGTAATAGTGACCACCTCTCTATATAGACCAACTGTCTATAGCGGCCATGTTGTGTGTCTGCTATTGTTAGTGTGTTGTTTAATATGTCAAGAAAAGCTACCTGTCCACAGTGACCATTCCTTTAGGTGGCCTCAATAGATACAGTGTGACTGTACAAACTAAATGTACCACTAACACGAGACAAGAAAAGCAGTATTTGTAGGCTGGTAATCTTTCTGTACAGGTTCTATTAGTTCATTTCAAAGAGTTTTAATCACAGACTCTATTCAAGGGAAACAGAAAACATGGTTTTTATAGACATTTGGTCTTTCTATACAGGTTGTCGCTAAATCAGGTTCGACTACATATAAAACGTCTACACCAGGCACTTCTTTAGTTCGCTTGGGTGGGCTCAATAGCCAGGTTTGACTGTTCTAGATGAAAATACATGTATATAAAATCTCGGCAAATCTTACTCATCAGGAAGGGGGATGACACCTGAGGCTCTCCAATCACTTCTGGCTGGTTCAGTGCATCATCTGGCCGTATCACTGATGCAAGTTGGACAGTATAAGTTTGCCCTGGGACCAGGTTGGTCAGCTCAACTGTGTTGGTGTTCAGTTTTACTACAAAAAAAACCAAAGAAATTAAGCTTATTATATTATATCAAAAATGAATGCTATGGAGTCCCATATAATGAATTATAAGAATTGACAAATGAACCCTTGAAAATAGTTTTACAATAGTCCTTTTGATATGATGATTCTTTATGCGAGTTTCATATAAATTTGCTATAGTCTCAACAGGCTATAAGAAGTTTGTGAGTGATCTTATATCTGAACGCAGGCCGAGGTTGAACTATATTGGCAGAGTGAAAATTCTGAATTTAAAGATACATATATTTCAGATGCATGCAATACTTGGTATATGAAAGTGAGGATAGCGGTATTTGTTCTCCCATGCATTGCTCGTTTGGTGTCAGATCCTTGGATTATATTAAGGTTGACTTTGCATCCGAGGTGCCCATCTAAAACATATGCCTATGGAGCAATAGGCACAAAAAAGTACAAATGGCATTCAAATAATTTCTATAACATCCCATAGCCCATGACTTACAGATCGTAGTCTTCGTTGCTGGCATCGTTGTCATGACAACTTCCAAAATATCGAAGTTCATCTCAGCAGGATCTGCCCAGGATAACGTTGCTGTGTCTTCCCCGATCTCAGAGATGACAAGGTTTTGAGGAGGATCAGGTACTAGATATGATGAAAAAACAAACGTGTATCAATTCTTCAGTCCTGAATGATCGAAGCTGAGACTACCACACTGTACATAGACCTGTATACTAATTTTATTAATGCTTCTTGAGGAAAAAGTTTGCAAGACATAGCAACAACTAATTATTGCCAGGTGACTTCAATCCATAGAGATTCCATTATGCATAGCAGGTGAATTAGATAGTTCATAAAACCATACTCAGCTGGTTGTCAACTCATTCTATACCAGGCTATAGTACACAGAAACACGACGTAGTTGACAACTTGGCTTAGTAAGGTTTTATGAATATTGATATTGCCCCTGGGGTTCTGACATTCATGAATTGAAATACACCAATAAACAGGTCTATTGGAATATACATAAAGTATTATTCATTTCAATTTCACACCGGTTGGGGGGGGGGGGGGCTTATGTCTCCACTCCCTCGAGAGCATACCAGCCAGGCGTCATTTTTACAAGCGCACACCTACTAATCTAACCACATTAACTTTCTGTTTCTAGCGCTCCTAAATAATCAATATTATTATCATAATCATTACACCTACGTGTGTAAAACAGGAAGGTTGTATTTTCGCTTCTTTTGTCTCCACTGATGGCGGTTATTCCAACTGTATAGCCCTTGCCGGCTGCCAAGTTCAGGATTTTAATACTGGTCATGACGCCAGTGATGTTGACAGGAAGCTCATCCCCATCCACATCCACACTGCCCTCGTCTGCGGGGTCAAGGGTTACTTCGTAGAGTCCACGGATACCCTCGGGTTGGTCCCATTCCAGCATCACAGCGCGAGGACCGAGGGAGCCGTCCATAATGCGGATCTCTGCGATGGCAGCCGGATCTGTGGAGGCAAGGTAATAATAATAATAATAATAATAATAACGTTTTTTTTACCCAGGGTGGCCACTTCAGTTATGAAACTGCTCTTCCATGGGCCCTGCATAACATAATGTGTTATTACTACCCTTCTCCAATCTAATATGCTGAGCGCCTAGCTAGAAGGCAGAAGGTCCAATTGTTATAAGTCTTTGGTTTGATTGGGCCGGGGTTCGAACCCACGACCTCCTGTTCATGAGGCGGGCACTCTAACCACTGAGCCACCATAATATTCTAGACTGACTGCTGATGGGAGTGTGAAAACACACTCTATAAACCTGACAGTCAAAACTGGATTTATCACATTTTATTCTTAAAACATTTATGTGTTTCGTTTAATTGCATTGCTAATTTGTTCTATACAGTAGGCTTGCGGGTGCACCATGTGAGAGAGAGAGAGGATTGAGGAGTCCTGAAAAGGACTCTCTGTAATCTTTCTTGAGGGTGTGTAGTCCTGAAAAGGATTGTTGGTGTAGTCTTGAAAAAGACTGTTGGTTATCTTTCTTAGCTTATATTTCTAAGGAGAACTATAGCGTTTGGAGAGGATGGGTGGCGGAAGTGGCTCGTTGTTTTGAACAGGTTGACTATCCGTTGTCAGGAGTGGGCAATTCGTTCTAATCAAGCGTCATGTCTCCGTAAACGATATGCATGATTATGAAATATGTTGAATTTTGTTTCTTCTTAATTTCTTATAAAAATTTCTGGTGTCAAATGCGATGTGGTCATACCCTATTTTTCATGCATCTGATTACGATTTGTAGGGCTCTGCATCCAAAGTTGCTGACCCAAACATCAAAGTGTGGAATGCTTTTTTTAATGATTTAAGCTGAAGTTGAGTATCAGTCATGCCATGGAAGTTATCATTAATGACAAAGTTACCATCAATGCTAAGTTTATTGCAACAGGGTCCTGCATGGTCATATTTCGAATGTAGGAGGACAGATTCTGAAGAGCAATCATTTCCAAAGAACGCTTTGAATCACTAAAACTGATAAAGGGGCTTTATCTGTAATATATTGAAATCAATGCAGGGAAAATGAATGAAAGTGACACGAGATTCCCTCACCTAATCTGAACGAAATTCTTTCATTTGCATGGCTTGTTGGGTCAGAGACTGAGGAGCAGCTTGTGACATAAACCGTGTACTCCTGGCCTGGATCTAGACCGTAGAACCGGGCAGATCGGATGTTCCTGGCTACAGGAAAACTCTCCTGCTGCCTGTTTTCCTGCGCCTCGTATGGTTCATACATGACGCAGTACTGTTCAAAGGCCTCGGTGTCCAGGTCTTCCCAGCTCACGGTGAATTCGGTGTTGTCTTCAGGGGTTACGGCCAGACTGAGAGTCTGGGCAGATGTAGCTGGGATAAGAAATGAAAATGAAAAAGCAGTCGCTATTTATTACCATTATAATTATCATCATCATCAGTATTATATTTATTGTTTTTCTGCTTGTTCTTGTTCTTCTTCTTCTTATCGTTATTATTATTAGTAGTACCAGTAGTAGTACATGTAGTAGCATTATCTTTACTGTCATCATCATTATCATTATTATAATCATTACAACTCTCTTTAGTATGTTGAATATATCTAGTCATATGATTGGTAAAAAATTGGATTGGTGATTTTAGCCATGCCTACCTACCGGTCAAAAGTTTTTTAAAAAGATGCCTGTTGCCCCGGGTAACGGGCTGCATAAATAAGTTTTGCTGAGATCCCCATTGGTTTATTTGTACAAAGTTTCTCTGTTCTGAATGATCATAACATTCAACCTTTTTCAGGCAACTTTCCAGTGAAGATTTACAGCTAATGTCTCAGATTTTCTGTGTTGTTTCAACTAGTCTTTACTCAAGAAAAGGATAAGGTAAGAAAGAACTCTTGGTAGATTTTGTTGTGAATTCGGTATATAAAAGATATATGGACTGCTTTAATATTTGAAGCATAGCTGTTTCTATAATGGCTCTCGGGGACGTTACATCCTGCTATAACCCCTCGGCCCTGCCCGCCCTCGGGTTATAGCAAGATGTAACGTCCCCTTGAGCCTATAGAAACAGCGATGCCTTTTGTAGCAGTCAATATATCCATATTATTAGTAGAAGTAGTACCATTATTTTTATTATCAACATCCTCACTATTAGTGTTATTACTATTATTATCATTATTATTACTAATGATTAGGTCTGGATCCTCAGGGCCTGGCAGGCAACCAATAAGATTCGCGTGGACTGATACTTGTGACGTCCATTCAAGGCAGTGCAGGGTTGCCTGAAGCCTAATTAGGGGGTCATTTGCCCCTGAATTGGTTGCCTTGATTCTTGCAACTGTATTTAGAGAAGCGTAACTGTGATGGCCTGTTCCAACATGCCGTGAAAAGCTGCTGCCTGTTTACTGTATCACTGTGGGTATCCTCAATGTGAAAATGAACCGCAAGTGGGGATGAAAAAAAGTAGCTGCACAAAATAAAGGCCTAACGCGTACATAATTTTGGTGTGTTATAATATACCGACAAGTGGAGCTTAAAATGAGTTTGTCATTTAAAAAAATGCTATGGTTTATTATCATCATTATTATCATTATTATCATTACTATTATTATTATTATCATAATTAACATAACTACATATATTAATATATATTAATCATCATCATCATTATTCTTCTTCTTCTTTTTATTCTTCTTCTCCTTAGTATTATTACTATTACTCTAATTTTTATTATGAAATATTTGGAATCATTTGTGCCTGGGAGTAAAAAAGTGAACTAAATGATGTGTGAAAAAACGTTTATGCTCAGCTTTTTCTGGCCAAAATGAGGCATCTGTTACGCGTTTAGTTCAAAACACGGTTGCGTCCTTTCTCATTTTTGTAGAATCACCAAAAAACAGCGATCATAATCGCAGATCGTAAACTCACAAAAAGGTGCGTTTACGATCAGCGATTCTGGGGAAGCATAAACGCACAATCTGTAAATGCGTTTAAATGGGGTCAACGTAGCATGCACAGTGCAGGTGTGCGAATCAAGCTGCAGACTCTGCACTGCACTTCTCTGGCTCCTGCAGGCATGATTCTGGCTCTGAGCCAGAATCATGCCTGGAGGAGTCAGGGAAGTGAGCATAAACAGTACACCGTGGTACTGCGATTACGATGAGCGTTTCAAATCGCTCATTCTGCCTTCAAAACTGAGCATAAACATACCCTCAGGCAAGTCTATCCTTCTTGGCCTCAAAGAAACCATTTTTATGTGACTTTGTCAAATGGATACTTACTCGCCCTGGTTAGCTCTGAACGGCTTGGTAGAGATTTCCAAATATTCACTATCGTGAAGAAATACTCAGTCAGAGGTGTCAGGTTGCTAAATGTCACAGACGTTTCCGATGTTGATACAGTGTGGGGAGATGGCGGCTGCCCTCCGGTTACATTGTAGGTGATGTTATACGTATCGCTCCCACCCTCTGAAGGTGGATCCCAACTGACTGTTATACTCTGCGCTGCCACCATCGTGGTTCTTAAGTTTGTTGGCGGATTCGGAACTGCAGTGAAACATAATCAGTAGTGCATCAGGGGGTGTTTCACCAAACTTGTCATCAGTGAAAAATGACAGGTGCTGTTATAAGCTACTGAAATCCTTGCTTCTGATTGGTTATCAGCACATTTATCAATGATATTTGTCATTTGTCATTAAAAAAGGCTTTGTGAAACGGGTCCCAGGTCTTTTAGCTCTTACAGTGCCATGAGGTTTTGCTTGATAGAGATACATGTACATGTATTACCAAAACATGAACAGTGCTTACTTTCCAAATGCCTGCACAATCTTCTACAACAAAATTTAGTGAACAGAAGTTAATGCATATTTAATACTATTTCAAATGATACAAAATATTCCTACTTTATGTAGCTGATTTCATTTATCCTTTGAAATATCAATATATATACATAAGTGTTTGAAAGTGAAAGAATTGAAACTGTCCTGGTTGTAAATTTTCTATAGCTTCCTACAAATACTTGTAAACTGGATTTCCTTTAAAGAACAGAGAATATACATGTATCAAGCTGGACTCTCATGGTGTTATCTGTACCAGGAGCTAGATTGTATCCTTTAAATTGTCAGTGTTTGAAAGAGAGAGAATCTATTCTGGTTATGAAGATGTGAGTTGGCCGGTCTAATAGTAATGTTAGCAGTACATCAAGCTTGCTGCCTCTGCCTACAAATATAACCCTAGTCCGGCCTAGGTTCTAAATTGAGACACGTCTTTTGATGTTAAAAGTCAATCCCCACACCATAAATAACCATAATGATTGAATCTTTTTTTTTCTTCAATTAAATTAAATTCATTTATTGATACACCTGTGTAAAAACCAAAACACACACCCACACAAACTGGGATTGAATTTTATGAAGCTTTCTACACATACCTGTGGACTGCGTCTTCTCAAGTGCAGCGTATATACCTGGCTGGACACCAATGGTGTATTGTGTACCAGGGGTCAAGCCGGTGAAGGTGTAGGAATTGGGGTCAGTTGATTGAACGGTCACGTTACCAGACCCTCCCTCCAGTGCATCGTAGGAGAGAATGTACCTAGATGGAATGGAACAAACAAAACAGTTTGCATAATAATGACTGACAAGTGCAGTATATATATATCTCATTTCCTTACACTTGTTTATAATTCTCTCTCTCTCTGGTGCTCTGCTGAACACAGGGGTGATAGAGAGCGCACAAAAAAAAGTTTTGGTGAGAGTTTAAAGCAAGTCACAGAAAAACAGCAACCTGCCCCCTAATTTCAAACCAGATTTACATCGATCTCAGGGACTGTCCATTTTTTAAAGAAAAAATATCATGATTAAATTATTTTTTTTAAATCAGGAAAAAAAAAAATAATTGGGAAATCATCAGGCCTGTGTACAGCAGGATTTAAGCATTACAATAATTAACACAGCATGCTTTTTCGTCTTGAGATCCATAAGGTTCATATGGTTCATATTCATTGTCCATGTAACAATAGAAATTTGTTGTATTACATGGTATATGGATACACATAATTTGTTTGATAGCATCCAACATCATAATTATTTTCCTTTCCATCGGTCTTGTTCTTCTATCCTTCCCTCAATGAAAAAAGTTATCCTATCTTAATGTTTATGAATTCTAAAGCATTCGCTTTGATCTGGCTGAAACTTGCACCTTAATTGTTAAAATATACGTTTGGTTGACGTGCAGAATGTGCAAATAAAATCATAAAATCGAGATGTTTTATGATAATGTGATATACGCAATGCAAGAACAGAATAGGTAATATTATATCCCTTCTATGAATATTCATGAGTTTCCTAAATACATGATTGGTCATTTGGTGGTCACGTGATAAAATATAATTGCACTATTAGAGACAAATCTCTGCCAGAGCTCCGAATATTTTCACTATTTTTTCATGGGCAGAACTGCGCATGCTCTCTTTGAGATTTTCAGGTAGATAAGCATTGTGACATCACACGTTCAATCAAAAGTAATGCGCAATTAGCGTCTTATTAAATGTGCATTCATATTACTGTACGCAGGTTAAATTGAAAAATTCAATTTCTCAAATACATGATAATAAATTATCATATGCCAGCCAATCTTTAAGTCAAACGTTGACCGTACACATTGGTGTCAAATCGGTTCGGATCGTAAAGAAGGGATATAAAACAAATATACCAAGCATTTAGTTTGTAAGGATAGTGGAAATTATATATCTTCGGAGGGTCCGGCAATTGTTACTATTTTTTCCTCGAGGCTTCGCCCCTCAGAAAAAATAGTACCATGCCAGTTCCTCCTCAGATCAATAATTTTGGCTATTCTTTCTCCCAGCTTCGTGTATTTGTATACTACTATTACAATATTTTGAACTTACTCTTCTACGTCAACTTGCTCCCATTCAATGTTCATGGTGGTCTCATCGAATGCTGTGATGTTTAAGCTTCCCAGAACTCCAACAACTACAGGAAGAAATAGAATGGTAAATTTCTGTTATAAACTTAAGGCAGTGTAGACTTGTATGTGCATTGTACCGAGCATCACAATTCATACATGAAATTAAAATAAAAAGTATATATATCTTCTTTTTTGTTGTTGAATAAATAGAAATACTATTACTATGACTGTGACGACTAATACACCTACATCTGTTACTACAGTACTACTACTAGTACTACTACTACTACAATCTGACTGTGACGACTAATACACCTACAGCTATTACTACAGTACTACTACTACTACAATCCCACTGTGACGACTAATACACCTACAGCTATTACTACAGTACTACTACTACTACAATCTGACTGTGATGACTAATACACCTACAGCTATTACTACAGTACTACTACTACAATCTGACTGTGACAACTAATACACCTACAGCTATTTACTACAGTACTACTACTAGTACTACTTCTACTACTACAATAATAATGTTTTGAATAATGATAATGATATAATACCAATAACAGGAATGATGAAAATAATAATAATAATACTAACAATAATAACTATGATAATGATAATAATAATATTAGGCCAGTTGCAGACCCACTTATGTGTGTCTGCATCAGAAACAGATTTACTTTTAAACATCTGTCACATCTGGCCACTGAAGAAGAGTGTGACACTAACCTGTTTTTTCATTTTTTTTTTTTGACAAATCATCGCCTTCCACCTGCTGGATGGAAGGTTTTTTAGGCTGTTTTTTGTTTTTTCACATTCATTAACTAGATGGAACTTTGACTGCTCACAGTAGAAAATGATGCCTCCGTCATAGAACAATTTTACAAACCAAAACAGAAGAAATTTTTCAAATTCAAGTTCGATTGTAATCCATTAACAGGTTCTCAGAATATCGTGATTACTACCTATTTCTTATATTCATGTATGACCAACCTGTGTATGACCCTTATGATCTTTGACCTCATGACCCCAAAATCTACCCAGTTCACTGGCTCTGCAAGATACATACATGTACATGTACAAGTCTTGAGTTTGATGGTAATCCATCCATCTTTTCTAATGATAATGTGATCACAAGCTATTTTTGCATACATAATGAGCCCTGTGACCTTTGACTTATGATTGATTGATTGATTGATTTTGTTTCATTTCATATGACCTTGTGACCCTAAAATCTAATCAATTCAATGACTCTGCAAGTTACATAAATGACCAAAGTTTGGTAGGAATCCATCAGTCTGTTCTCGAGATAACACGATCACAAGAACAGGACGTACGGACGGACAACCCGAAAACATAATGCCTCCGGCTACTTCGTAACGGAGGCATAATACAATAAAAACCAATAATAATCTTTACCTGCAAAGACTTCCACAGGAGCGCCCATCTCCTGGAGATCTGCTTCCACTTCAAGGAGAGACACCACAGTGAAGGAGTAATTCATTCCCTCATTAAGGTCATCCACTCTCAGCACATTGCTTTCAGCAGCAGCCTGAACGACCTCGAACATCAGCTTTGTGATGTCATTAACAGGATAGTAGGAAATGTTGTAGCTATCGATCATCCCGGCAGGGTTGTCCCACGTCAGGACCACATAGTTCCTGCCGATGCTGGTGAATTGGAGATCAACCGCGGATTCTGGGACTGTGTCGGTTAAAGCAATGAATTTAACAATAATGATAATAACGATAATTTTGTTCCCACAGGGAAGCCTCATCAGCATCAATGTTGTTCTTCCCGAGGGCCCTGCAATTAATTTGTGGCAAATGTGAATAAATGTCATGCCAAAATATGTAGCTGCAGGGCTGCGATTTGAACCCTAAAGCCTTGAATTGAGACTCAAGTGATTGAACCACTATACCACAGCCTGTAAAGGTAGGCTGAGTACATGTAAATAACCTGCTAGTGTGAAGATAGGTTCAATAATCTGTTGAACATTTATATTGCTGGAGAGCAGTGGATTGCAATTGGCTCAGCTGGTCATTTCTATGTGATATAGATGCACACGTACATGTATTATTTGTTTCGAGTGGCCCAAACATGTACAGCGAGCAGTGCAAAGTAGCAAGGGGGCAAAAAATATCCAAGATTTCTAAATGTTCAGTCTGTCCCCTAGCTCACACATTTAAACTTATTTTTCGTTCCGTTGTTATCGGCATGATTGGTATGTACATGCAACTGTATCACTGTATACATGTAATATGTTTTGTTGTTTTTACAAGTGAAATGAATTGAAATTGATGTTGAAATTGGCCATATTCTTACTTGTAGCTGCCTTTGCGAGTAAGGGAACAACTTCACGTCCACTGCTCTGTACAACTCCAGCATAGAGAGTGTAGAGAGTGCCGGAATTCAACGTATCAAAGTCCACCGTGAACGATTCGCAATCCGTGGTCGAACAGTTTCTTGTCGTGCTGCTAGTCACCATCTCGTCGTTGTACAATCCGGTTGTAATGCTGCAAAGAGAATATTCATAATTGTCATTAGTCATTTGAAATTGTATGGTAGATGTAGCAGTGAAATAGTCGAATCCCATCTGTCACCTCATAGACTTTTGTGATTTGCAAATTTAAATTTTACTTGGCATTTTATGAGTTAACATTAAAGGGATAGTTCAGTTCTTGTTTAAGAACGCAAATGCCTTCGAAGTGCGTGGTTATTGCTCTTATTCTTATTTCTGACATATGAAGTGCCCATTTAGACCCCAAAATGTTTGAATTTAGATTGAATAGGATCATACCAATTCAGCTCCACTTTCAAAAATAATATGGTGACCGTTAATTGATTAATTAATTGAAAAAATAACAATACACGGGCCGGCCGATTGTGCGTATTATAACCAACACAAAAGAGCCAACAAAAAGCCAATATTGGAATTGGCTGGAATAAAATGTTTAAGGCGCTATCTCGTTTTTCAACAGCTGGTTCAAAATTACTGAATATGTAGGGCACAACAAATATTAGAAATGGTTATATTTATGGATATTTCAGCCGTCTCTGAACAGATTTTGACATTAAACTTGTATATTCAAATGTGACACTCAGTTTTTCATTATCTCACAATTTTTTTTTGTGTAGCGCCCTCTGCAACAAAACTCAACTATCCCTCTCAGAGTATGAAAACAATAAGGAATAACAATACTCCACGCACAGACCCAAAGTCAGAGTTAGGTTCTAAGAGGGCCTGTTTCTATGTGAGACCGTATGGGTGTGTTGACTAGTCAATTTAAAAGTCCCTTATTTGTTAAGTGAGAGTGTCTTTAAACTTGCAACATCTCTTTAAAGAAATAACATTTGAAGCTCATATTGTGAGTACAGTACGGCGACTTGGAATCCCTAAAACAGAGAGCAAACTACTTTCTGGTGATTGGTACATTTTAAAATACAGTCTTACCTTTCTACATTGCTTACGCTTGAATTCACCTCAGCTTGTATGGAATTCTGATCACGGCCCAAAATGGTGATGGTTACAACATTGACATCTGTGAGGAGTTGGAAAGAAAAGTTTTGAAATAAAGGTAGGTGGATAACACATCCAGATTTTATTCAATTGAATTTATCCTTCAATATTTAATGACATTGCCTTAATTAATTTGATGACCACTTATCCACATCATCAATATATTTTTTCTAAATCTTTTGTAATTTTGCTGGGTGATGTTATCATTGTTATTTGTTATATTGCTATTGTATTTGATGATAGCGCAACATATATTATTATATTGTAAGTATCTGATTACTTTGTAAAACATACAATATCAGCCTTGAGCTGCATGTCATGTTTTTTTTATTAATAAACCAATTCAATTTAATTCAATTTAATTATGTGTCTCAAATCTACTATTTTGGGGGTATATCTCTATATTTTACCAAATGAAATACATGTACATGTAGATCAAATCAAAACAATTTAAACCCCCTAAACCCTTCTTCATACACGACATGGTAAACTGCATTAAAAAAATACAGCTTTAACAAGAAATGACAGTTATACATGTACACATAGGAATAGAAGGCCTCACAAGTCTTCATATTGTTAGTCTATATATTTGCAGAGATGGTTTGAAGATACTTGGTGGTGCTGGTTGTTATTTAATACCCGACTGCTAAGAAAGCATGGATGCTTGTAAGTAAGCAACCAGACAGCCGACGGCTTTAGGTACTCTCCGAAGTACCTGGTAATGAGGATTACTGCCTTACCAAAGGGCACTATAGTGCATCGCCTTGGTTTCGAACCCGGGTCACCGGATTACGAGACCACTGGTCTACCGACTGAGCTATCGCGCCTCCACTGAGAGGCTTGAAAGGCCTTGAAAGGCCAGGGACTGAAGCTAATGGTGAAAGTTAGATACTGTACATAAGAGTTATATATTCTGGGTTTATATAGTGCTTAATATATTGTCAATGTCTCTACTGGAGTACTTTACAGATCAGACTTGCCTGCACAATGTACGCACATTCTCCACTTGCTGGGGGATATTCCAGGGGGGCGGCATTTTACAGACACTCACCATGCTGAGCAAAATACATAACTTTTGCACCCTACCGGGTACCCATCTAACACCTGGGTGGAGAGTGGTAAATGTAGATTAGTGTCTTGCCAAAGGACATTAGTGCCAGGCTGGGATTGGAACCCTAAACCCTTAGATTGAGAGTCTAGTGAATGAACCACTATACCACAAAAGAGATTACTGTAAAAGTAGATAGATATGGCACCTAGATAGAGAGGTATCTTTGTATGTGTATAATCGCTGGAGTTCAGCAATCACTCACTGGACACCATGTGAGGGAAATCAAAACAGGGGACGTCAAAGAAAAAGATGGAGAGATGAGCTGCAACAGTACTGGGGGAAAGGTTAATTGGCACCAACAGGCACTGAACAGAGACATTTGGAGACAGCATGCTGAGGCCTTCATCCTACAGTGGATCAATAATGGCTGCAGAAGTAAAATTAAAAGTAAAAGTGTTTTACTGTGTGAAACTGACTACAATGAATTCTGGGCCCTGTTTCATGAAGCTCTTCGTAAAGTTACGCATGACTTTACGAACGACTTGAATATGAAGTGCCAGATGGGATGCCCAAAGTTTTTCCTGATGTTTTAACAAAGAGTAACTATACTTTCAATAACCTTAATTAAATTATGGAAAAAAATATACTTTGCATTAAAAATGTTTGTTAGGATTAGAATGTTAATCTACATCTGCACAGTTCAACTTTAGTTGATGCAGTTAAAAATGATTGAGCATCCCATTTGGCTTTTCATATGTAAGTCATTCGTAAAGTCATGCGTAACTTTACGAACAGCTTCATGAAACACCCCCCCCCCCCTGATCTACTAACCAAGATCTTTCACCACCTGCTGCAAGCTTTCGACTTGATCCTCTCCAGCTCCAGCCACAGTGGTGACACCGACTTCTAACGAGACGAAGTCAGAGGATGAATCTTTCTCAAGTCCCTCTAAGAGATACGTCAAGGTCTCTGCGGTGTCGTTGATTGCCACGTCGAGTTGGAGGGGTGCGCCGACGATGGTGCCTCGAGTCACGTTGTAGTGGAAGATGTAGCTATCGAGGTTTCCTTCGGGTCGATCCCACTCCAAACGAACAGAGCAGGTTATGGACGGGATGACACGAATCTCTGCAACAGTCTCTGGATCTAGAAAACAATGCAGGGATATTGGAATTTCAATAGTGCATTTAAGAATTTCATGGAAAATGTGAGTGATTTTGTAGGAATCAATTACTTTCAATCCTCATAAAATCACCTTCGTCATCCCCATCATTGTTTTTTGACCGTCTCTTTTTTCATAGCTGTAAGGTTGGACATTCATTTTCCTTAAAGGGAACCAAAACATCCATACTAAGTTACTTTAATTGTAAAGTTTAAGATATTTTAATAAAATCAGTGAAATTTGAACAAAATCGGCAAGGAATAAGGAAGTTAAAGCTCTTTAAAATGACTAGTCACTAGAGGGCGATATTCAATTTGATGCGTCATTTGTGGCCACCTCTCCATGCCTTTTGTACCTCAAATTTCACAATTCTTTCGTTTTCTTTGTATTTATTTGTGTTCTTGATCCGACTTCATAACATGTGAAGTAGAATATCATTTAGCATTCTATAACTTACTTTCAGGGGAGTAGATTATCTCAATCACAAGAAAGAAGGAAAAACATGAAATTTGAAGTACAAAAGGCATGGAGAGTTGTCCACAAATGATGCATCAAATTGAATATCGCCCTCTAGTGACTATTCATTTCAAAAAGCTTTAACTTCCTTATTCCTTGCCCGATTTTGTTCAAATTTTCACCGATGTTATTGAAATATCTTAAACTTTACAATAAAAGTAACTTAGTATTAAAGAAGGTTTTGGTTCCCTTTAATGGCCTTTCTTCCAGCCTTCCAGGCTTCAGCATCCACCTGACTGAGACCTGATGCTCTCACATCGTCTCCTTTGAACCAGACTAATATTCAATAATGTACTGTACAGACAATTCAGTCTCTGTTTGTTTTTTCATATTTCACGTTTTCAGAATACATAGTAAAAACAAATGAATTCTATTGTCAAAGGCAAGAAAAGAATGTGAGCAGCCCATATTAATTTCTGTACATGCAGCCAATGGGGCCAATTTGTCCAATGGGGCCAATCCGGACCAATTGAAACCAATTGGGGACCCATTAAAGTCTAATGGGGCCTAGGCCAATGGGGCCAATGGGGCCAATTTGTCCAATGGGGCCAATCCGGACCAATTGAAACCAATTGGGGACCCATTAAAGTCTAATGGGGCCTAGGCCAATGGGGTCAATGGGGCCAATTTGTCCAATAGGGCCAATCTGGACCAATTGAAAACATCTGAGGTCCCATTGAAACCTGTTAAAACCTATTGAGACCTATTGAGACCAATTGAAACCAATTGAAACCAATTGAAATTTCAACTGGTGTTCAATTGGTTTCAATTGGACTTTCGTCTTGGGGTATTTATTAAACGAGACAGAACTACAAGAAGAGTGAAAGCTAAGGAGCCTACAGTGAAAACTGTGAGTTATATGCCCCAATTAATGTTGCCAGTGTGAGTGTTGGATCACCCATGGACATACTTGTGTACTGTGTGGCTCCGATGGAGGTGACTGCCTGAACAGTTCCCAGGGCATCCACCATGAAACTATACCGAGTGCCTGGCACCAGACCGTCGATGGTGTAGTCAGTCTGGCTAGGATCGTCCACCGAGATGTCCTGGACTGACCCGTTGTTGGCAGTCTCCCAGTAGCTGACCACGTAGCTGCTGACGTCCAAGAGAGGGATGTCTGTCCCCCAAACTATGGAGACTGCGGTGGTGTTGAAGCTGGTTATGTTGACGTGGAGCTCAGCAGGTGGGACTACAGGAGAAAAAATAGTTCATAAATAAAATAAATAGGTCATAGTTATTAGGTTGTATGATGGGGTTATTTTCATGTTCCATAATCATTTTGTGTGTGTGTCACTGTCTGTTTCTGCACGTTTATACATATTTATACATATATCAATGACTGTAACATCAAGTACTCTTTAAAGTGTTGTGATATTTGAAGGGTTGAAGTGATGGTGACTGCACGTTTCATTACTAACAGAAGGCAACAATGATGTTGATCTTTTCTCAGATGATTTCTTACATGATCTTGTCCCACCATGAGCAGAACATGAGAATCAGATATTTCTAAAATGACTGTAATGACAAGTACCCTTGTGTGGGTGTAATTGCGTTTCTACAGACATGTATCAATCAATCATGATTATTTGCGTCTGAGGACCTACTTTTAACGTCACCATCCGAAAGACGTGACGCAGTTTCGAACCTGCGTCCTTGGCTGAATCAGTTCATAACTTCCATTGCTAGCTGGATTACAGTCGCACGCCACAACACCCCGTTGTTTCTGTTGTCTTTTGTATAAGGGGTAGGGTGACTGCGACGGTTTCTTTACAATTCACAATATACTTACATAAGGTGACAATGGTAGTGAACTTCTCGCTAGTGATCTGGTTAGTCCCCGTGCCAACGACAGCAGCGAGTGACACCAAATACTCCGCTCCTGCTTCCAAGTCTGACAGCGTTCGTTCCATGACAGCTGGTCCAAGCTCCAGCGAGTTGGTCTCGCCATAAGCCCAGCAGAGCCTGAATCCTTGATAGCTGGTAAGCGGTGCTTTCCAGTCGATGGTGAGACTTGTCGTTGTGAGGTCGGAGAGCATGATGTCGGTTGGTTTGTCTGGGCCTGGAATTATGAGAACGAGAAATACACAGAATTAACCCGATTGCCTTATTTCACCTTAAGCCTAGGTCACAAATGCCATTACAAACGCCGTAGGAACGATTTTCAGACAATGGAAATTCAGGAAGACAATGGAAAAACAGGGAGATTCGTACGAACCTTTGTGACTGTAGCATTACTTCAGATAATTTATATAATCTCAATGCTGTTAAACAATAATATCTCTAATTCATATGGGGTAAATTTGCCTCAACAAAAACTTTTTTTTAATGTAATATTCCTTAACCCTTTTAACATTGATAGCAGTTTCAGTGTAAGGTCTGATTTCATGTGTACACAACTGTAAATATTTTTAATGTTTGTTATATTTATTTCAATTTTCTATAGTATTTTACTTTACTTGACCTGTGTTTTGTAGTAAATGAATTGCTATCTTCCTACTTTTTATATGTCTTTTTTCTGTGATTTACATTTGTATGCTTTAGATTTTTAATTGCAATCGAAAATATATGATACTTGATATTGGATACTAGTGATCCGACATTTGCTCCTGCAACAATTTCTCAGAATTAATTTCATCATAGGTATTGGGTAAGGAATTGGTAAGTGGTTTTTCTTATAACCCTACTAGTAATCTGATTACATTTTTTTTTCTTATTCCTTTTTTTTTGCTTTGCTAGTCAAAAATTTGGGTAAATTGGACCTCCCTTTCACAAAACCCTGTATCTGCCCCTGATATGCCATAAGGAATCTCATTATCCATACGCACAGGTACATGTACACGTTCTGCTTTTTGTAATGGCATAAACTTACGGGTGTACATAGGTGCACTTCTCTGTCTGTTACTGTTGACAATCAGCTCCACCCTGTACAGCTCGCCTGGCATCAAACCAATGAAGGTATGCTCTCTAGTCTCGCTGGTATTCACCTGGACGTTTTGGACATCGATGCTCAACTCGTTCTTCAAGTTCAGAAGGTAGAAGTCGAAGGGTCCGTTGGTATCGGCCGAGACCATACCCCATGCGAAACTGATTGACGTGGTCGTGACCTCGTTGAAAGAAATGTCACCTTCCTCCATACGTGCTGAAAGTTGCCACATTAAATGCAAGTGAATAACAATTAAAAAAAAATAATGTTAATGAAAGTTAGGAGGCTCTCTTAGAAGCTGCCAAAACAACAACCCACATCCCTCCCCAATCACCTAATTGATGTTTGTTGGGATATCATTGAAAGAAATTTGGCCTTCTTCAATACGTGCTACCAGATGTCAAATGAAAATAAAATCAAACTTTTAATTGTAATGAAAATCAGAAGGTTTTAGGACCTCCCAGATGTTGAATCAAATCGAATCAATTCAAATAAGAGAGTCTTTGATTGTAATGAAAATCACATGGCTCTCTTAGAACAAGGCTGCCAAAAACCAAACTTCCCTTAAAGAGTTTCAGAAGTAGCAACCCCCCTCCGACAAGCTGATTGAAGTGGTGGTGACCTCATGGGAGGAAGTTTGACTTTATTATTGTTATTATGTATTTGCCGTCACCTGCGCCTGGGAGACGAAAAGCGAACTTTATCACTGTAACCCTCTGGTCTCTCCTCCCGGTATAACTAATTGGATTGTGCAGGTGGACCACTATACCAGGGTTTCCCCCTACTAGTACACAAATAGTGCAGTAGTGGGTTCTTAATGTGCAAAGGGTGTGACTCTTCTCTACATGGGCCTCCCTTTAAAGGTAAAGACCAGTTCTGGTCATGCGATTGCATTGTGAAAGAAACGTTGTGGAATCGATCAGAAAAGATGGATCATCTAGCATATAAGTATTGGTGTGTACTGCAAGGTTCTGGAATCATCAAAATGATAAGAAATTTGACTCAGTCTTGGTAAAGTTACAAGCACTGTACACAGAAAGGTGTATATGGGACTATGTAACACGTGCGCGATATGTATCGGTCCGAATAGATATAATATAAATATATCAATTAGTAGGCGGTTTCCCAGCAAAATTTGTATCATCACGTATTAGTCAAGACATATTCTTCTACATGATTGGTAATAAGGGCTTCCATTTCATTTTTTGAGAGGGGGGCTTTTCCAAAAATGGTCTATACCTTTAACATCCTATCCAAGAGACACCCTTTCAAAAGAGCTACCAGATGTTCTAATCAAATCAGAGACATTTTCATTAAAATAAAAATCATGAGGCTCACCTTGAATTAAGCAAGCCAAAATAAAGTCCCCCCCCCCCCCCCAAGATATTAATTAAGGCTCCTCTGTCCCCCTCCAAAAATATGATTCAGAAACAAGACATAGACGTACGTGTTGTTACATCCATTGTACTCGGACTGCTCTCTGTGCGTCCATCCTCAGCGACAGTGTTCACATCCACGGCGTAGTCCGTGTCTGGTAGAAGATTATTGAAGGTATACTCCGGACAGGCGTCCGTCGGAATCAAGAATTCGTCTCCGTCTGGTCCAGCGTCCAAGCCCTGGCTGCGTCGTCTGACCCTCAGGCGTAGGAAACGGTACCTGCTCAAGAAGGAAAGTAGCAGAACTAAATCACTTTTTTGTGAAAATAAATTCAGCTTTTTTGTTTTAATCTTCTCAGATTTTCTGCAGATTGTTAGGTTGAAGGATACATAACATACATATCCTCTCATAAACACTGGCATATGAATAATTTCAAAACATTGCAGCTACTCATGATTTTCATGATTACATTTAAATCTCATAATGTCGTAATCCTTTAGAAGAGACATTATTTGATGAAAGAAGCAGAACAACTTGTTGACCAGGGTAATGGATGTCCTTGGCTGCTTATATCTCATCAACCGCCCCCTCCTAACAAGAAAATTCTAGTGCCCCCTCAGTAGCTGGACTGAAGCTTCGCCATCAACATCTGCAAAGGGGCAGTGCCATTGTGTAATACTGCCCTCTTTGAGGCATTGCTGTCATAGTTATGTTCATATGAAAGCCGTTGTCCTTAGCCCCCTTTCAGCGGTTTCTCATGCATAAATGAATTGTAACTGTTAGTAACAAGGGTCCTATGCGTAATCAGTTAACTCTGTTAACTAAAACACATAAATGTAAAGCATAATTATTATACTTCATTTCATCATGAACAAAAACTGCAATGGTTTACCGCTTCATATTTGGATAAGGTCATTTTATACAAGCTAGTACCTACCTTCCTCTTCGTGGCAAAGTAATTTGGATGGTGAAAGACGTGGGCCGTCGGAGTACAATGATGACCTGCACTACAGGCAATGGTGCTGTATTAGGGGAGTTACAATTAAAAAAAAAAAAATCATTCATCACAAACCACGATTACAGCAAAGGACGTGTACATGTAAAGCCTTTATATATTATCATACAGTCAAACCTGTTCTACCAATCCCTTCTTCTTTTTTTTTGAAAAAAAATTCTATTAAATTGGTCTATACCAATCAATTTTCCTGTACCGATCATGCAGCCTGTATACAGCTTCGACTGTACATGTAATGTAGTAACATTCCTATAACCTTCTACAGTTTACATTGTATCTTCTAATTTGAATGATACTACATTATGCATACTCATGTTCATGCACTATTTTCCCTTAAGAACATTTTTCAATCATACATTAACCCTAATTATATACCTCACTTAAGAAATCCAGCCATCTGATTGGTCGAAATTGGAGTCGTGATTTTAGCCATTCCCGTAAAGAAACAAACAATGCCAATACCGGTTAATAGTCCAAGAGTGAGATCCTCAAAATTCTGGTTACCATGAAAATAGTACAATTTTGCTGCGATATCCATTGGTTTACGTGTTAAAATTTCCTTTGTCCGAATGCGGACACCATACATTGCTTTTTGTCTGCGATTCCCAAATGATCAAAACTTTCAGTCATTTTTCTGGCAAAGATAAACAGTTTCTCAGATTTCCTGTGATCTTTTAACCAATCTTTACTCAATAAAAGGATAAGGTAAGAATTCTTGGGAGATTTTTGTTTCAATTCGGCATATAAAAGACATATTGGCTGCTTTAATATTCAAGGTCTGGCTGATTTATAGGCTCTCGAGAACTTGCACATCTTGCCATGACCCCTCAGCATGCCGCCCACTCAGGCACACCTCTGGGTCATGGCAAGATGCGGGCGCGTTCTCTTGAGCCTATAAAACAGCCATGCCTCTCGAAGCAGTCAATATCTCTATAATATAAATATTGCAAATATGTTTTTATACAACCCCTGTATTAAAAACATATCTATTCCATCATCAATAACTAAGACAAGGAAATTTTGAAATTTCTGTACAGAGCAATTTGGAGAGGAGCTTGTATGTGCATCACAGCCTTGCCAATTTGTGGTTCAATGATGACAACTTTAAAAATCTTAACTTTCCAATTCTAATCAGATTTTGCACAAACTTTCACTAATATTCTCTGCTTTTATTAAAACCAACTTAATACTAGGGTGGATTTCCCCTTTAAATGTATCCTTCACATGCATATTCAACTGCAAGTATTTTCAGGATGTGTAGCCGTTGGACCCTTGGCCATACATTTCATGGTTTTCATCATCAGTTTACGAATACACAATTAAATCATTCTTATTACCAAGCACAAAGGTCACGCCGGTTGTCGATCCCGTAGCTGTATAGTGTAAAGTAAAGTGGTATGCAGTGCCTGGGGACAGGTTGCGGAGGATCAGCTGCCTGGTGTCGAGGAAGATGGGAGAGCTGGGTGTACCTTCCTGAGGTGTATATTCCACCTTGTACGAAGATGCCCCATAGTCCTGCCAGTCGAGAAAGACTTCTTGTCCCCCAGAGGGGGAGGTGGAGGTGGAGACCATTAGGTTTTGGGGATCTGAAGAAAAGAGCGGCAACAAATCAAGTAGAAAATATCCCCTCTTAAAACATGATTGGACATGTAAAGTATATCCATTCTCCAAATTTCAAATTTCATTTCATTAATAATATTGTTTTATTCTGCTTCATATCATTATTATTATTATATTTTTTAACTCTATTTCATTCTATGTTATTCTATTTATACTTCTTTTTTTTCTTTTTTTTTCATTTTACTAATTTTGTTTCATTTCTTTTTTATTTTGTTTTTATCTATTCATTCATTTAGTCATTTATCAAAGCATATCTTAAATCGATGTGCATCATCTTCATCATCCTCACAGTATTAACATACCAAGGGGCGACACAAATTGCCAATTTCTTATTGATTTGTTAAAATTTTCTTATACCAGGGGTGAAAGTAAGCACTAAAAAAAAAAGAAGAGGATTCGGGGGAAACTAGATGCCTCCGCCAAAGAGCGATTTCACAAACCAAAACAGAAGCAATTTGTCAAATTCAAGTTAAATTGTAATCCATTAACAGGTTCTCAGAATATCGTGATTACAAGCTGTTTTTCATATACCTGTATGACCCTTTTATCTTTGACCTCATGACCCTAAAATCTAATCAGTTAATTGGATCTGAAAGATACATACATGTCCTGAGTTTCATAGCAATCCATCTGTCAGTTCTCATGTTAATGCGTTCACAAGCTATTTTTGCATAAATAATGAGCCATGTGACCTTTGACCTTGTGACCCCCAAATCTATTCACTTCATTAGCTCTGCATAATACATACATGATATAAGTTTGGCAGGAACTCATCAATCGGTTCTTGAGAAAACGTGATCACGAGCTGTTTTTGCATACATAATGAGCCCTGTGACCTTTGACCTTGTGACCACAAAATCTAATCAATTCATCGGCTCTGCAAGATACATACATGACTAAAGTTTAGCAGGAACCCATCAATCGGTTCTTGAGAAAACGCGATCACAAGCTGTTTTTGCATACATAATGAGCCCGGTGACCTTTGACCTCGTGACCCCAAAATCTAATCAATTCATCGGCTCTGCAAGATACATACAGGACGTACGGACGGACAGAGGAAAACCCGAAAACATAATGCCTCTGGCTACATCGTAACGGAGGCATAAAAATGTCATCTAACAACATTCCCTCCCCCACCCCCCCCCCCCCCCCCCCCCCGACCCCTTCTGAGTAAGAAAATTGGGGAAAATTAGGAAAGAATCAAGAAAATAAGGGAAAAATCAGGAAACAGGAAATAGGGATAAAATCGGGGGAAAAAAGAAGGAAAAAAAAATCGGCAAACCAATTTAAATCAGGTAATTATCAGGCCTGTTATACACCATTTTAATTCCATTTTACAATTTTTATTAGTTGTCACATTAGGAAACAGCTAGTGGCAACCACAAGTGATTATTTCTAAATTTGAAGAGGAAATGTTAATTTCATTTGGCCATTTAGAAACACTGTGACCTGCTATGGGTTAAAGTTAATGTATAGAGGCTGTATTACCTGTCCTGCAGGTCATGGTAGTAGGTTCTCCTCTTAAGTCTCCTAGCGTGCTCCTGACGATGAAGGTGTAGATCGTGTTGTCCATCAGGTAGTCAGCCGTCGCTTGGAGCTGCTCATCCTTCTCTACCGATTCCAGAGGGATCTCTTCGCCATCACCGGTCTGTGTGCTGATAGCATAACCATCAAAGTTACCCTCCTGCGTTGAGCCCCACTCAATCTCGAGCAGACTTTGTGTGGTCTTTGTGGGGTCACAGGAGATGTTTCCTGGCATTCCGGGCACTAATTAAATTGAAGGGAAATTTATTTCAAGTAATATCACAAAAAGATGGAATATCAAAACAGATAACAATATCAAAATTACATATAAATTGACATAATAACATTCAATATACATGTTTACAGAAAATTTGAAAGTTTAATAAACCAAAGAACAAATGTAAAATGTTCCATCCGTAAAAGCCAACAAGGAGTGACAATGGAATGTACAAGGTACACAAGTAATAATAACATAAGGTGTAAAAAAAAGGGATTGCATTTTGGTATGAGAATTGAGGTTATAAAAACTAATTACCGTCGATGCTATAATGTTAAATTAAAATATTATATTCATGCATCAACGTTTTTGTGAACGAAAAAGCAAAGCAAAACAAAACAAATACTTTGTTTATATGTTTATACATGTTCTTACTTATTTTACTTATTATAAAGAAAAGATATTAATTGAAAAGTCTTTTTAAAGGGACTTGGTAACATTGTTCAGGTTAGAGATAGTGGTACTAAGGTAGTGACTTCAATGCTAGATGTACAATTAAAGATATCCTGAAAATTTGAGTGAAAACGGACCATTATTCATGGTACAAATTGGGAAAAACTGATCTGATCGATTCCTTAATTCTCCCAACTATGTTATTACAATTTAATTACATTTTAGGTGAATATAAATCGTCACAAAGCAATAAAATGGCTCTACATTCCATTCCAGACATTTAAGTGTTGACAGATTTAATATAGCCTGTTTAAGGTCTTTTTTTCATGGAAAAACGGTGGGGAAAATTCAAAAATGGTTGGGAGAATTTACTGTTGATCACTGTTAGAGGGTGTTATGCATAGACACCTTCAAAGAAAACCATAGATATCTTCGTGGTTTGAGAATTTTGTTGGAATTTTCGCATGGCAGAGGGTTAGTACAGTAGAGGGAATATAGTAAGTAACATTTTATACAAAAATCAAGCAATTTTTTCATCAAATTTCAACAATGTTACCGAATCACTTTAAACAAATTGTTAAATCAAACAGACTGTAAAAAAGCAGTTAGGAAATTCAAAAATTTTAGGACAAACATAACAGAGAGGAGTGTTTGATATATTAGAAAAAACATTCAAATGATGTAATTTATCAGCATTTCTTGCGTAGCAGGTATGGATTGAAGAATTTAATTTACCGGTAATAAAGTTTAATCATTGATACATTTATTATCAAATATTGTACAATGTGAATCACATTATTACATGTAGCATATTATGTAAAGAGCGGTAATGTATAAGGTGTACATATGCTTCAGTTATTTTTGTATATATTTTTTGTATATAATTGATAACCAAAAATTGTTTCACTGTTATTGAAAAAAAAAATACACCTTGTGATTCAATGATTCACTGCTATTTGTTGGCTCCATTTACCAAATGTATCATGCTGAAATACAATGTATCTCAAATTTTGGTAATAAATGAAAAAATAACAAGACAAATGCAACATTACTGCCTCTCCTATATGCCTCTGCCCTAATTTCAGTATAAGAAATGGATGAAAATATTCATGACATATCACAATGGAAAACAAAAGTCTCTAATAAAATTACAACTGATGACTAAGATCTTGACCTTGTTGTTCTCTCTGACATGTGACCTTTGACCTAGTTACTCTAAAATCTATATAGATTGTCCTCCTATGGTGATACATGCTATCATCAAGTTTGAAGTTCATAACTGAAGTGATTCTTGAGATATCATGTTAACAAGAAAGAGGAACGGACGGACAGCACTAAAACATTATGGCCCGTATACTGAAGTCGTGTCTAACTTAGTCATGTCTAAAGTTAAACAACGGTTTAGTTAGACACAACTTAAACGTGAGGTCGCATGTAAGTCACGTCTAACTAAACAACTGTTTAAGTCCTGTCTAAGTCCTGTTTAACTACGAAGTCGCTCCTGACTTTAGTCACTACTTCTGCGCATGCCCAGTATGCCCAGTAGGTGTTAATTCGGACGATAGACCCGATGCGCTTGTGTGTGTGCATGCACTGGATAAATAAATTAACACGCACAGCTAGCTGTGCGCGTGCTAGTAATGTGATCATGACGTCATGACTAGACTGCATGTACTGTGTACGTACACACTGGATTGGTGCACAGTACAAACACACTAATAATATCACTATCAGTGCCTCAGTGCTCGGAAGAACCAGAAAAGAAACCTCCCCAACAGAATGGTTAGTTTATTATAGATTATGGAACTACCAAGATGTCACCATTAGATCAGAATAGTTAATAATATCGAGAAAAAATCCTGCACAACGTATTTGCAATTTTAGAGGATGCACGTACCATTATTCTCCCCTGCAAATTTGGGTTACCAAGTAGAGTGTACCGTATACGTTGAAAAGCAGCAGAATCGTGCCCTTAAACAGGACTTAAACAACCCCTCGCAGTTGTCTAATGTTAAACAGGACTTAGACAGGACTTGATTCAATCAAGACTTCAGAATACAAAAAAAGTTAGACACGACTTTGTGACTAAAGTTAGACAGGACTTAGACAGGACTTAGACAAGTGTTTAGTTAAACAGAAGTAAGACACGACTTCAGAAAAAGGGCCAATGCCTCTGGCACCACCTTCGGTGGCCGGAGGCAAACAAATTTCAAAGCACAAATGCAGAAAGAGAAGTTATGGATGTGAGAGGCTATAAAAACACTCTACTGTATTTGAAGATAAAACTTATTACTGGAATGGGATGTAAACAGAAAGTCTACTAAATATTAGGAAATGTTGATTATAAAGACAAATAATTTCTGTGTATGCTTTTCTTGAAAATAACTGTGTGATAATCTCAGTAAATGAATCATAAGTGACAGCGTTCGACTAATCATTTGATTGGAATCTGGGAGTGGGTGGCATAATGAGAAATTTACACAATCCTCCTGAAAAAAAATACATTTGAAAACATTGAACAGAGAAACCTGATACCTCTGTAACAACCCCAAACACAATTGTATACATGTACTTACATGTGGTGACATCAAGGGAATGTACTGCTGTATCCAATTGGCCTTCTACTTCAACAAGCAGGTAAACGGTGTAGTTAGTGCCAGGGATGAGGTCGCTGAATTCAACGCCTAGGACATCACCAAGGCTTACGTTCTTTATAGAGTCTATCGCGTCGCCCTCCTGGAAGGTAATACGCAATACGAAACCAGTCACCTCTGGTCGGGTGGTGTTGCCCCAGGAGACAGAGATGGACGTGGACGTCCTTGTCTGCAGGCGTAGTTCCTCTGAGTTTTGTTGTCCTAGGAAAGAATGAAGGCAAGAGAAGGATATTGAATGGTGTTGGATAGTTTTGTGTTGTCATGACTGGATGGTTAATTATATAACTAGTTATGAATGGTTATAACTGGTTGTGGACGGTTATGAAATGTGATGACTGGTTATGAATGGTTATAAGTGGTTATGGATGATTATAAAATGTGATGGCTGGTTATTAGAGGTTTTGGATAGTTTGTGGTAAATTAAAAAATGTATTAACTGGTTATGAATGGTTATAAGTGGTTATTACTGTTTATAAATGTGATGACTGGTTATGAATGGTTATAAGTGGTTATTGATGATTACAAAATGTGATGGTTGGTTGGTTATAAGTGGTTGGGGACGGTTTGTGGATGGTTATAAAATGTGATGGCTGGTTATGAATGATTAAGTGGTTATAAATAGTTATGACTGGTTATGAATGGTTTTGACTAGTAATGGCTGGTCATGAGTTGTTATAACTAGTTATGAATGATTATGACTGGTTAAGCCTGATCATTCATGGTTATAAACGATTATATATGATAATGACTCGGTATGCCTGCTTATGACTAGTTAAGACTGAAAAGGCTATAAAAGAGGATGAGAGATTGAAAATCAACTCACTTGTCATTGCAGTTATTTCTGTTGCATCACTCCTCTCCTCTCCTGCCAAGGCATATACCATGATGTTATACAAAGTACCCGGTTGTAAGTTAGGTATAATTGCAGTGTTGGTCCCCATGTTGATGGGGTCTAGGGCCATCACAGAATCAGGACTCCGAACCGGAGCGTATTCGACGAGGAACATGTTAAAAGAACCATCGATTGGATTCTCCCAGGATATGGTAAGAGTGAAAATGGTGCTATCATCAAGAGTCACGTTATTTACTGGCAGTGGTTCTGTTAAAAGAAGGACAAGGAGTCAAAAATAAACAACCGGTGCTTCTTGTTCTTTTATTATTCTCGTAAAGCCCCTTTAGAAACCATTATATCGACCAATCACAACAATTCTAGACTCAGCTAAACATTCTGTACATGTACATATATGTTTCCGGTAAATGTGTATATTTATTATTCTTTTAAAAGTCAAGTTTGGAATCATTATACATGTATATGTACATGAAAGAACAAGTTTTTAGCTCTCTGAATTGGGGGTACCACCCTGGTATTCTCTTTCTTCAGTTAAATTTTCTTTATAAACCATTTGAAGCCTTTACAAACATTTACTTTAGGAGGACAATCTCAGTCAAAGAAAAATATCAGGAAGCCATCAAAGTGTTAAAATTTTGTGCAGAACTTTCCACAAGGGTATAAAAAGTGGCCACTGTAGACAGGTGGCCTTTCTGGACAGCTCCTTCAACACGTTTTCTTCTAGAGGGAGACAAAATACAGGGCCATTATACACAGGTGACTTGTTTGTAGAGGTGGCCCCTAAGAAAGGTTTCACTGTATTTCATTGCTCTTTAAGAGGAAACATCAAACTGTATTAAAACATCGATTATAGTAACTGGCTTAAAATAATTACAACATGACCTACTTGTGTATTGCCTCATAAATGGCAGCAAACAAAGAAAGTCCCACGCAACGGTGATGTGCACATCGTCCCCTGGCTGCAAATTTCCGATTGAAAGTTCGTGGGCACCAGAAACAGTTGCATTTAAGGGATCTCCAGAAGCAACCGTCCATTGCACTGTGAATTCGTCCTCGCCGGGCACTTCCGACCAAGTGATGTTGAGGCTTGTAGTGCTCACGTCTGTTACAGTGATGGCACCACCTCTGTCGCCTGCATTAGAAAAGTGGAAAAACTATTGCGTGAGGATGCTTTGTGGTATTGATTGAAGACTTTTATTTGGAATATACTCTTTGAAAGCATTTTTGTTCAATTTCACGCTCTTTGACCTGTACGACATACATGTATGACACTTAAATTTATTATTTGGCTAGTTATATTTCATCCATAAATAAAAATATCTTGATATCACCATTGATTTGTAGATCTTTCCGGTAGCACTAACATTATCAAATGCTCAAGAGACTTTTCATTCTTGGATACTGCGCATATCACATGAAATTGCTTTTCTTCTAAAGGTTGATCATGTAGAAAACAACCTTTGAATAGTGATTTAGTAGAACAGGGAATTTTTAACAAACAAATGCACCTGACCAACCGAAAATTCTATATTTTGCCATAAGGAGCAATCGCTCAGTGGTAGAGCAGTGGTCTTGTGACCAGGATGTCCTGGGTTTAAACCAAGTTTATGCGCCAGTGCCCTTTGGAAAGGCATTACTCCTCCGTACCAAGTCCCTTGGAGAGGACTTGAAGTCGTCGGTCCCCTGGTTGCTTACTTACAAGCATTCACATGCTTCTTAGCAGTCATGTAAAACAAACAATTTAGTACATCTACACAGTATGTTGAGAGACAACCAATAGTAAAATGACTTGTCTAGAGGAATAAACACCTAACTGACTTTTAAACCCAGGATCGCCTGAATAAATGTCAAGAGCACAAACCCCTCTACTGCATCATTAAGGGTAAAAGCCACTACAGGGTAACAAGACAGTGGTCTCAATTAGTTCTTTCTTCACAATCAGAGTCGTGGCTGGCACTGTTGCTGGTTCAGTTGATGATATGCTAAAATTTGAACGTATGTTGAAGAAAGAGTATATTGTGCCAAGTCTCTAAATGTGTCGTGTTCAGCATGTTTATGTAAGGCCTCCTTTATCCATCTGGTGAGCTGTCTCATGAGCGTATGCTGCTCTTATTTCAGTTCAAGCAATGACTGGTGGTGGCAACATGGTCACTGATTCGGAGATGCAACTGTTCCATTTTTGCCATATTTGTTCTGTTTTTTTGGCTATGAATACGGCAGTATGTTTTGTTTAAAAATATATTTAAAAAATTAAAAAATTATTGAAATTTTTCTTAGTTTCTGATCATGGGCTTTGTGTCATAAGTGTATTATGCACCTATGTCCTCAAACGATGTACGCAGGATGGTAATACGGGCCCCAAACTGCGCACAATGCGAACAACCCACTTGTACTGTATCCATGTCGCGCTCTGATCCAGGTACATATACGTGTTACTGCCGTTTTTTTAAAGCTGCTCGATTGGGCGATATGTTAAGGTGAGATATTTTCAAAAATATTGTATTTTGCTCTTAAGTATACTTTTTTGTTGTTGATGAAGGTTGGCATCTCTGCTGATTGCATCAGCAACAGCGCTAGGTCTGAAGGAGCTTGCAGCACAGCAAGTGAAAGCTTTACCAAAACAGGTTATTGTTCCACTGGTTGTGAAAAAAGGACTTATTTTCGAATGAAAACACCAATCATATAAACCTCTTCAGCCATACCTGTTGTGCTGTACACCATGACGACCTCACTGCTTTTGTCTCCGCTCATCACCTCAACTGAAACGTTGTAAGACGTTGCAGGCTCCAATCCATCAAGGTACACCGTTTGATAGTCACACATTCCACCGGTGCCGTTGCCGCGGCTCAACGTTCGCATCGAGACATCAGGGACGATGGTGATGCTGATGTTGTCAAAGTCACTATCTGGGAGACACCATTGGTAGAGCAGGTTGCAGGAGGTGGTATTGGTGACGGAAGGATCGTAGATGGGTAAAGGATCTGCATGGGGAAAGTAACAAAAAATACATTTTTTTTTAAATACACTATTTCAATCCTATTATTTCATTTAGGATATTGGGGGGGGGGGACCATAAGCTATGCAGTTTTATTTTAAAGGTGGAGATGTGTCATTATAAATTCTCTTCTTTATCTTTATTCTGCACATTCTGAAGTTGACTTGTGGAAAATATCACAGGAAATGTCAATAACACATAATTTCACATAATTTACAATTCCCATGTAAAAAAAAATTAAGAAAATGAAAGGGTTCAAAGATATTATGTAGTGCTACTAGATCAAAGTCATGCATGGGACAGAAAGTGGATATTTTTTTTTACATAAATACCCTAAACTGTTGCCAAAAAGTACATTGCTACGATCTGAATTCAGGCCTTGGCTAAAAACTACCATTCCTGATAATAACGATGCTCTTACTTGTGCGAATGGCATCGGTGGAGTAGTTAAAAGCCAGGGGCCAGACGACAGTGAAAGTATACTCCCTTCCCGGAGTGAGCCCAGTGAAGTTCACATAGTAAATGTTGTTGAGGCCTTCCGCAATCGCGGAGGACTCGTCAATGTCTTGTGTGGCTTGCTCATTGCCATCTGGAGGGCTGTACGAGAGAGTGTAGTCCACGACACCCGGGATCGTCACCCATGACACAGAGATGGTATCTGTGGCAATGTCCTTTAATATCAGAGGGGACGTCTCAGCTGTATTACATTGAAATGATTGAATTGAAATTCATGTTTTAATATCAACAATATTTGTTATTTTTCTAACACATATCTACCATGCAAAGTGCTCAAAGTGCTCCAACATTGCCCCGGCTCTGCTAGGCTACCGATTTCGTTGCTGACAACATACAAAGGACTCCTTTAAATGACCATAGAATGAAGCCTTACTCAAAAAGACTGCATGAAGTAATATTCAATGGAATTGGCAATATCTTTCAAAATTGCAGTTGAATCATTTTGTTGTGGGCTGAAACGTAAAATGCCTATATATAGTTGTAAAGGTGGCGATATATAGCCATTTATGAATATCGTGTATTACATCCTCAAGGGAGAAAAATTTAGTGTTCACTAAAGACAGTGATTTGGCTATTGTGTAGAGGTAGGTACTATATACAGCTTTGACTAAGTTTGGCTGCAAATAAGTGTCATCATTTTAAGAGAAAACTCACTCAGGGTTATGAAGTCAGTAACCTTATTGCTGAGGACGTAATCGCCCTCACGATCCCCAACGAACGTAGCAACAGAAACAACATACTCCTCGTTGGGAGTAGAGATAACCCATGGGTAGGTGGTGGCATCTCCATCAAGCCAAGCTTTGTTGTCTTCAGTAGTAGCAGAATACCAGCAGATGAGGAAGCCGTCGTACATGGTGCTGGGTGATGTCCAGGTGAGGTTGATGGTGTTTTCTTGGGGTGTTAGCACCAGGTTCGAGATTGGATCAGGCTCTAAGAAGGTAGAAATGTTTAAAATGATAGATGATGACATTTAAAATACAATCATTATACATGTCATTCATTCATACCTGCCATCAATGATTCATTTATCATCATCATGCATTCATCATTCATTCATACTTGCCATCAATTAATCCATCGTATCAATAGTCAATCATTCATTCATAGGTTTCATTAATCATTCATTCGTACATGTACTAGTAGATGTCATCAATTAATCATTAATTTATTTCATCATTCATAATTTTTCAAATTTGCCATTAATTTTCCATTCATACCAGTAGTTACCATCAATCATGCTGTACTTTTCATCAATCATTCATTCATGTTTACAGTAATCCTACATCATAGTTTCATTCATACTTGCTTTTGATTATTCATACATACCAGAAGTTGCCATCAATCATTTAATAATAATAATAATATTAATAATCTTTTTAAAGTCCTCTCCAAATTTTATCAAATTAAACCGAAAATGGAAATTCTTTTTTCGAAATTGATCGTGAGCCCGGCAACCACGGAGCAGCGCCAGATCAATGTGCTCTATCCCTTATTTTTCGAACGCCAAACAAGGTAGCAACAACTCCCGTCTTTTAACAGCATTGGCCATCATTAATTCAAAGTCTTCATCATTCAATCCTTTATTCATACATTCAAGTACATTTGTATAATAACACCATTAATTACATGTATTCATTCATACCAGAAGTTTCCATCATTCATACTTTCCTAGGTCTCATCAATCGAGCAATCATCCCCTCAAACTAGCCCCCCCCCCCCCTCCAATCATTCAGCCAGGACAGCTAGTAGCTGCCCCTGCCGGCCCCCTCCCCCACTCCGGGAACGGAGGGACCGCATGCATGTTACCAAAATTTCTGGCTTTTAACAAAGAAAAAGATCTGCCTGCATTGACTTTACACACCAGACTTATGCTGAAAGGGGGGGGGGGGTGGTTGCTGAAAAGGCTTATATAACAAAGAAAAAGATCTACCCGTATTGACTTTACACACCAGACTTATGCTGAAAGGGGGTGGGGGGGGGGGAGTGCTGGGAACTTGCATATGCGTACCCTAAATAACACTGGGTGGGGGGGGGGGGGCAGGGCTCCCCCTATCATTCATCCACAGTTCCCAAACTCACTTGTGTACTGCATCACTTCCAATGCATCACCTTGCCTTTCCCTATTTATCAGACTGATGACACTGATGCTGTACTGCGTCCCAGGCGTAAGCTCGCCGAAGGTGTAGTAATTAATCTCAATGTAGGGGACAATGTCTGACATCAAAGGGCCATCAGGACCACTGTAGTGCAGGAGATATTCATCGACATTGTCAGTTTTCCAGATGATCTCTAAAGAGTTGGTTCCTACCTTGCTGATTTCCACTTCATTGTTGACTACAGTAGCAGTGGTGAAATTTTGCACTGAAAGAAGACGATGTAAAGTGTTTTAAAGAGAAGGTCGAGTTGATTCATTGTACTTCCAGTAACCGATTTATTACATTGCTAATAATTTCCTTACACAAGCATTTGCTTCCCCGGATTTCGACTGCTACCTGTTTAATTTATTCACTGTACTGTTCTGTTTTATTTATTGTTAACCATATATTGACAAGGAGAAGGAAATATTTTTGAGAAAAAAAAAAATTCAACTACAACTTTTATGGTCTTTATAGAAAGGGTGTCTTCCTACACATGTTTATGCTAAGAAGGATTCGCTGTATCAATAGTCAAAGTAGCTGATTAACAATATCGCTAAAAACTTCAACTTGTCTGAATGAATCATGATCTTCCTGAAAATTTGAAGACTTACAGGTGGTTTCACTAGGAAGACTGAGTCCCCTCTCCCCGGTCCTTGCGAAGACCTGGGCCGTATACATGGTGTTAGGGTACAGGTCCAAGAGGAGGAGCTCAGGGCACGCCTCACGGGAAAGGGTGAAGACCGGCTGACGCGCACCGCAGCTATCCGTCGGAGACGATAACATGACAACGTAATCGTCAAAGATCCCTTCCCTTAGAGAAAAGGTGAGTAAAGCAGTCGTTGCTTTGATGTCTGAAATGTTGGTAGATGGAGTTAATGGACCTGTTGATATTAAAAATAATAATAATAATGATAATAATAGTAACAATATTAACAACAATAACAATAATGATATTAATAATTATAATAATAACAATAATAGTACATGTAGTTATAGGTCAGTCAGGAATCCCATGACTTTTACAAGCCGATCACCTATCTGATTTTCAAGATATTCATGATTGGAAATCGAAATTTTATTTTTTGTTTTCCTCACTGTTTTTATAATACTACAGTCTACAGGAGAAAAAGAGTATGGTAAAACCGGTCACTCAAAGATTTTTACTTTTTTGAGGCACTTCATGATCATTTTGAAGCACAATTTTTTTAGGGCTTCAATCTTTAAGTAATATTGACTGCCTTCAGGGCAATACGATATATATCCCCCGAACCAAAGGTGAGGGTAATATATGACAAGTCGTATTGCCCTGAATAAGGCAGTAAATATTACTATCATTAAGACATCTAGAGCAAACAAGAAACTCTTACTCTTAAATTATGTAAAATACAGTAGCCTACGTACTGCACAGGGTTTCCTAGCATAAAGAGTTGCAAAAACATTGTCAAACCAGCACTGTGAATCCAGTGCTTGTCAAAATTTTTGATACACTGCATTTAGGACCCGCATTTAGGACAAACACATATAAAAACAGTCATCTAATTTCTGGAATTAGAGTATGGAAACAACTTGAAAGTTCTATCAAGACATCACCTACTTTGATCAATTTTAAACACACTCTAAAAGCCCTGTTATCTGCAGATGACGTGTAAGTGAACTTTTGGGTGGTTTTCGTGCGAAGCTTACCAATTTTTTTCTATTTGCAAATTTATTAAATTTGGTTGACATGGTTAGCGTTATATCATCTATTCATACATGTAATGTATCCATTTTCAGCTATCTTGTAAACAACCTAAGTGTATTTTCAAAGAGCAATTGAATGTAAATATGTATATAACAATTTTGGTCACTCTTGTGTTAAAGCTTAAGTTGAGTTCTGGTCATGCAATTGCATTGTGAAAGAAACGGTGTGGAATCGATTAGAAAATATTGATCATCTATATATGTCAGTATTGGTGTGTACTGCAAGGTTCTGGAATCATCAAAATGGTAAGACTGAATTTGGCCCAGTCTTGGTAAATTTACAAACACTGTACACAGAAAGTTGTATATGGAAGTACATGTGGCATAAAAATCTGTCCTGATTTTTATACTGTTACATGCCATAATTAAGAATATAAAAGTATTTGAAGAGCCACGCTTTTCAGGAAACATGTTTATCTGACGTTCTTCCCCATTTGCATAATAATAATGATAACTCATACAAATTAATTTTCACAGAACTCAACCTTATTTTTAAGCTACCGGTATATCAGATTATAAAAAATGTAAGTTTTAAATCATTTTTTTCTTTCTTTTGAATACATTGTTATCATCTAATTTTTTCTTCTTCACTTTTTCAATGTATCTTTTAAATTGAAAATTCCATTCACATACTTCTTGTAAATGATCATGGATGATTCTTGAATGATCAGTTATTTCATGAGGATACCAATTAATTTGTAATTTACCTGTTTATATGCTTGTGTATTTATTTATTTTGTTTTTGCTGCCGTTATTTATTTTAATCTTACCACACAGGGCGTCATGGAAGACCACCAAATTGGTGATGATGTGCCACCCTGCATAAAATATCAGAAATAAATAAATAAATAAATAGCTTAGTCAAACTACCGAGACCGACATCAGACCGACAAGAAACCAAACAATGATATTACATTAATTCTATGGCCAAGAATCAGTCTGTTTGAAGTCGGTCTAAAGTCGGTTTGGAGGTGTGACTGAGGTATCAGTCTGGTTCTTACTCTGAACAAAATCTGCATTGGCAACCTCCATTTCAGTGCCATCAGCAGCGATGGTGGCGAGTCTAAAATTGTAGATGGCGCCAAACAGAAGGTTGTCGATGGTGATAGACGTAGAGGTGGCTGGACGAGCAATGCTGTTGGTATTTCTGTTGGTGGTCGTGTAGATGAGGCGATAGGACTCGGCGCCCTCTTGTACCTGCCACGAAACGGTGAGGTTCTGGTTGCTACCAACATTAAACTCTAGGATTTGTTCATCTGAGTTGAATGAAAGGGAGACAGTGGGACGTTTTATGTTAACATTATATTAAAATTGATTCTTAACATCATCAGCATTAGTTCAATTTAATGTATTAAATATGATACACGATTGTAGTCCCCCAAAATCATGTTTACAATATATAACTGATAACATGCACAAACGTTGACCCCAAAATGTAATCAGGTAATCTTACATGGTCATACATACTCTCACCAAGTTTAACTATGACAGCACAATTTGTTCTCAAAAGAATATATTCTAACACATTTAAATTGACCTGTGACCTTTGACCTCTTGACCCAAAATAATAGGATAATCTTTACATGGTCATACATACTCTCACACAGTTTAACTATGATACCTCAATTCGCTCTTACAGGGGTGATAGTGAGCACTAAAAAAAAAATTGTTTTTTTGTTTTCCCCTCAACCACGCCCCCCTTGAGTAAAAAAAAAAAGAGGATTCGCGGGGAAAAAATGGCATTTAACATTCCCCCCTTTCGAGTAAGAAAATAGGGACAAAATTGGGGAAAAAATAGGGCAAGATTGGGAAGAATAGAGAAAATAAGAGGGAAATCGGGAAAATCAGGATAAAATAGAGAAGAAAAAAAAAATGGTAAAAAAAAAAAAAAAAAAAAAAAAAAAAAAATCTGGATTTTTTTTTTTTTTTTTAAATCGGGAAAAAAAAAAAATCGGGAAAAAAAAAATCGGGAAAAATAAAAAAATCGGGAAACCGATTTAAATCGGGTTTTTATCAGGCCTGCTCTTAAGTTATCGCGTTCACAAGAATAACTACGGTCGGACAGATGAAACAACAACCCGAAAGCATAATGCTTTCCGGTAATCACTAAGTGTAGCGGAGGCAAACAAAATATAGGCTTAGGGTTGGGGATAGAATTGAATGTTAGGAATTTGTTTTGAACTTGGCATTGAACATTTTTTTGCAGGAGTATGTATTGTATAACCATAATATCAACAGAAAGGTTATTTTTATTTAAACTACGTGTACCTGTATTGAATGATGCTTCTGAAGCGATGCTACGCGATTCAAAGAAGACAGAGTAGATCCTGACGTTATAGGTCGTATCTGGAAGAAGACCACCCACTTCAAATTCATTCCCCTCGTTGGGATAGACCACACCCACTGGGCGGGGCTCTGGCATGTCACCCCCGGAGATGGATAGTTCGTAACTGTCAAAGTTGCTGGTGGCTGGTGTCCACGTAAATGAGAGGCGGGTCTGGGTTGAAGACTGCAAGGTGATTGGGCCGGGTGGGGCAGGATCTAATAGTTTAAAGATAAAGACCAGTTATGATCATGCGATTGCATTGTGAAAAAACGTAGTGGAATCAATCAGAAAAGGTTGATCATCTAGCATATAAGTATTTGTGTGTACTGCAAGGTTCTGGAATCATCAAAATGATAAGAAATTTGGTCCAATCTCCGTAAATTTGCGAGCACTGTACACAGAAAGATGTATATGGGACTACGCACACTTGCGCGACGCGTGCGTTTATCTCTCACACACCAATAGATTAACTAATTTACCAAATATATCAATTAGTAGGCGGTTTCCCGGCAACATTTTTATCATCATGTATTAGTCAAAACATATTCTTTCACATGATTGGTGATAAGAGCTCCTGTTTCATTTTTTGAAATTGGGGCGTTTCCAATACTGGCCTTTACCTTTAATGATGGTAAAGATTTGATCACTGAATTATGTACTACTGTAGTTCAGCACTTCTCTTCCTTTTTTGAGGCCCACCTTGGCCATTAACATTGACCTAAAAATAAATGCTGTCCTGAAAAAGTCTTATTTTCATGTCACAGGACCCTAGTTAAATCACGTCAAGAATAGACTAACCTGTCACAAACTGCAGAACACTTGTTTGCCGGCTACCATCAGTATCCATCACAAAAAGTTGCACAGAGTAGTTGGATGCTGGCGACAAGGAGTCAAGCGTGGCGCTCAGAGTATTAGCAGAGGGGGATAAATTCATCATGTTGATACCAATGGCATTATACAACCGGACAGCATAGCCCAGGATGTTGTTGACAGGTCCCCATGCTAGAGCAATTTCATCGCTACTAAGGGATACCACATGGAGCTGACCTTCCAGAGCACATGCTGTAGAAGAGGAAGTGGGGGAGAGAGCGGAGGAAGAGGGCGAGAGGGGAGAGGGGGAAGGAGGGAGAGGAGGGAGAGGGCGAGAGGAGAGAGGGGGAAGGAGGGAGAGGAGGGAGAGGGCGAGAGGAGAGAGGGGGAAGGAGGGCGAGAAAAAGTGATAGAGAGGGTAGAGAAAGGGGAGGAGAGGGGGAGAAGAATGGAGGAGAGGGGGAGAAGAATGGAGGAGAGAGGGGAGGGGTAGAAAAGGAGAAATGGGAGGGGAGGGAGAGAGAAGGGATGTACTAAAATAAGGTTATATGTTCAAGTAGAGGGTACAGTTTCAAAAACGTACTTGTACAGGGTGTAGTATATATATATATCACTACATGAGGTGAAACTGATGTTTATGTAAATATACTATACCTGTGCCTGTACATGTAGGTGTATATTGGAGTTTCTTTGGCATAAAACATACATAATGATGACATAACTGTCAAAAAACAAATGCTTACCGGGGGTACAGAATGATATGTAGACTTACAGGTACCTGCAGTTGGAAATAGCTTCTCGCAAAGAATCCAATACTTCGAAATATCAATCTAAAGTAATTTCAATATCCTTATCGATCACGTTTTGAAAGTTGTGAACATTTCCAACGACAAGTGCATCATCCAAATATGTTCCTATGGGATAAGAAAAGCAACATCTGGTGCCGTTTTCAATTATGTTGAAGACGTACTTGATCTCAGAAGCCTTTTTAATAGATTTTGGTTGTGTGCCCGTAAAGTAGCTCTATAAAAAGTATTTTTGTTTACCACAGCGCAGTTGAGTATATTCATATATTAGCTGTTTTAATCAATGTTATTACTATGTTTACCTATACATGTGCAATAGGGTATTAGAATCGCCCTTGGGTTAATTTCTTAGTTTTGATGATGCAAGCTATAGAGAAAAAGGACGTAAAGTTGAAGTCCACCCTGATATTTAGTTGGCTTGAATAAAAGACGGAACAATTATATAAGCTGATCAGTGAAAGTTTGAGCAAAATCTGACTAAAGATAATAAAGTTATGAAACTTAGAAGTTTAATATAATCAATCAATCACATATCGGCAACACTTTGACATACATGTATCCTGCAAGATTTTACTGAAACTCTCACTGACCTATTCCTCTACTTCTATCAGAACCCATTTAATATCAGGATGCACCGTCCCTTTCAAAATTGAGCTGTCTCTCTTACTTGTAAATCCATATCTGGTTAGTACGTCACTTCTGGTGTCACCAGAAATCGCAGTGACCGAGACAGAATATTCCGTGTCCGGCTGAAGCCCCTCAAGGGTGAAGGTGCCATCGGTGCAGCGACTGATGTCGAAGGGAGAGTCCGTCTGACTGGACTCGGGGCTGTAGCTGACCTCAAGGCGCTCGTAGTTGAGGTCATTGAGAGACGTATCTACCTTCCAATCCAAGGAGTAAGGTCCTACACTCTCTAGCTCCAGACCATCTGGCCTTTCAGGAACTGTAAAGAATTTCAAACAAGAACAAGGATAGAGATTAATAATAATAATAGTGGGTTCTTGTTTAGCGCTCATGTCCATCACATTTAACACTCCTAGCCCTCCACAATTATTACCCCTGCGTTTGCACGACTGCTATCATATGGCGCTCTAGCATTTCAAGGACTCAGGTCCTGCCAGGTACCCATTTAATTATCTCACCTGGGTTGAGTGTAGCAAACGTAGATTAATGTCTTGTCAAGTGATCCACAGTCCGGTGACATACACATGTCCACTAGACCATGACACTCTTTCTCTCTCTCCTTTTGTACACTATGCCCATCATTCTTCTTTATCTCTTTCTAGCCCTTTTCCAATGCATTTCCACTTCTATCTCTACCCTATTTAATTTTTACTCCAACATCCTTACCTACCTTTACGTTATTCTGTGTTTCTCTGCGCTTATTCACTATTATGTCTTTCTTTCTATCTTTAGCTGTCTGTTACATGAACATATTTTGTTTCTTGTACCTTACTGGGCTGTGTCATCTCCAACTGTGGTCACGTAAAATAGACGTAATACAGAATAAAGAACTCTGCTGACAAGTTTTGTTTCATTAACTTGTCAACAGCATTCTTTCTTCTGTCTTGTGTCAGTGTTTGCTATTGAGCATTATTCTCTCATTTTTACTTCTCACAATTATACATGTGTGTGTATCATAATAATAATATCCTTTGGCAAGATATTAACCTGCACTTGCTACTCTCCACCCAGGTGTTAAATGGGTACCCGGTAGGATGCGACCATCATTGTTGGTCAAACAGTTTTTGAGCATCAAGTAACGCCTGGCTGGAATACTCCCCAGGGAGTGGAGATTGTGCACACAGTGTGTGCGGGCAAGCACTGAATCCAATGACCGGGGTAGTAGTATATTTGTAAAGCGCTTAGAGACATTGTATTAAGCGCTATATAAAAGCTAAATATTATCATTTTTATTATAATACTTTGTTCTTTTATGGTGCATTTCATGTCTGTTGACAATTCAATGCGCTTTACAATATACATATATATATAAAATATAACAAGATCATAAAAGGAAGATGAGTAAACAGAAGCATATAAAGAAAAAAAACGAAGATCTTACGAAGAGAAAAATTACAACATTACTTTAATATTCTTCATGATATGCTTATTTGTAAAGATGAGTTTTGAGTTTAGATATGAATGTTTGGGAGTTTGTTTGGGAGTATGCGTGTGCGTGTTTGTGTGTGTGTGTGTGTGGTTGGGTGCATGTTCATGTGATAATATGATGTGATGATGAGTTTATTTGTACCAGTTGCCTTTGTCTGCGTAGTGTACAACATATATAGCATGTAAGTATTAAAGACAGAAACAAAACATGACGCATGCTGTTTCTGTTTTAAGCTTTCTTCCTCTTTGACCTTTGGAAATTTACTTCTGTTTTTTAAAGACGGACCATTTGCCAATTACTAAATTCTTACATTACATAAATCTATAAACATATTATATCCTTATTTGTGACTCTATATCATAAATACGATTAACAACTTTAAAAGAATAATAACAATATTAACAATAATAATAAAGATAATTAATATAAATACTTTTACTTATAATAATAATGATAACAACATTAATAATAATAATAAATATAACAATAATAAATAATTATTATAAATAATAATTATATTATATTATAAAGATAATACTAAAACTAACAATAATAATCATAATAATACTAATACTACTACTACTACAAATGATAACAAAGTTCATAACAATTACAATTATTACAATGAGAGTAATAATACCTATGACCACAGTAATAGCAGGAAAAGTACATCCTTTTGTGTTTACATACCTGTTGTGAACGCGAGGTCAACGTCTTCCACTGTGAAAGTATACTGCCTGCCCGGGGTGAGACTTGGAATCGTGTGAGGTTGACTCAAAACTGAACAGATAAGGTCATTAATACAAAACTGTTTAACCCATCAAGACGAACACTGGGTACACGTGTGAGGACTAGTAGGTAGAACTAGAACTGGAACTGGATATGCGTTCATGAAAGTTATGCCATCATTATTCATTCATGCAACTTTCTGTGCATGGACTTATAATAAAAGTCATTCGTACAAAAACTGTAAAACCCATCAAGATGAATAATGGATATGCGTTCATGAAAGTTATGCCATCATTATTCATTTTTGCAACCATCTGTGCACCGACTGATAAAAGTCATTCGTACAAAACTGTAAAAACCCATCAAGATAAATACTGGATAAGTGTTCATGAAAAATATGTTCCGGTAATCATTATTCAATTATGCAAGCACAATTTCATTCTACAGGTATCATAAACAGCTGGTGGTATTTTTGTCAAGAAAGCATACAAGAGGTATTTCTGAAGGACCTCTTATCATTTGTTATCAACACGGCAGTTTATCTTCTAAATGGAGAAAGCGTGACCTCTCTTATAATGTTTAAGCTTTCAGGACAAAGATTTTCATAAGGCTAAATAGATCACATTTCCTTCTACAAATTTGCAAAACATTTACATTTTGCTTTTATTGCTTCATTGTCCAAATAAAATACCCTGTCTCAGAGAACAATATGCATGGTTATGAGCTATGTTAAAAAGTTTTAAATTGGCAATTTTATAAAAAAACACTTATATTTTTAGCCTTTCAATGTGCTGCCAATTTATGGATTTTAAGGCTCATGTTCTTATAAATACTTCCTGGCCTCAAATGCTATGCGGTCATGCAAAAATGTGGAAATATTGTGTGTAAAAACGTTTGCCCTTTCTTTTCATGCAACTTGTACATTTATTAGGGATCTGAATAAAAAGTTATTGAGCCAAACCACAAAAAGAGCAATCTCTGTCTGTGGATATTTGGGGCCATCTACTTTCTACGAACTGGTTTATTAGCCATACCTGTAATCTGTTTACCATCCAAGTATACCGTTGTAGGAGGTGGGATGGTCCAACCAATTTGTGCGTCAGTTGACGAAACAGACAGGAGGTACACTTCATCTCCATCTCCACGGGCTGAAAATGAGGACAAAATCTTTAAAATACATGTAGATGTTGGGATCAAGACCAAGACCAAGACCAAGACATAAAACATCTATACCAGGACTGGGCCCTGTTTATAAAATAAATAGTTACAATAACTGGTATAAAGAAGGCACTGAAATCCATATTTTTTGCAGTAATGTTACACATACAGTAGGCTTGCGGGTGCACCATGTTGGTTATCTTTCTGCTGTGCATTGTAGCAGACTACAACGTCGCCTACGTCGGGGACACACACAGCGTCTCGCCGACAGCACACCCCACTCATGGATTCGAAACTCTCCTAAGTCCACAACCCAGAGACTCCAGCCCAGACGGACAGTCAGACGGACGAGCCTACCATCCATGTCCACTCCCCGATGACTCAAGCCCACACGGTCATGTATTTTTCCCCGACGTCCGCACCCCGGTGACTTAAGCTCACGCACGCCAGATATTCTCCACTCCTGACGACGGATAGTCAACCTGTTCGAAAAGTCAAGCCACTCCCGCCACTCATCCTCTCCAAGCACTATAATTTTACTTAGAAATATAAGCTAAGAAAGATAACCAACAGTCTTTTTCAAGACTACACAAACAGTCCTTTTCAGGACTACACATCCTCAAGAAAGATCTCAATCCTCTCTCTCTCTCTCACATGGTGCACCAGCAAGCCTATACTGTATATCTACATCACCATGCAAGCCGACACTTACAAGCAGAATGTTACACATGTTATTGATAATAAATTTTATGAAACAGAGCCCAAGAGCAGGTTTCATTAAACTTGTTATAAATAACAAGTTACAATAACTGTTATAAGCTACTGGAATCCTTGCATTTGAGTGGCTGAGAGGAAAGATGTCATGGAATTTCAGCAATTAGTTACTGATAAGAATTTTTATTGAAACAGGGCCCTGATCTTGAAATTGTTATTGACATCTAGGCTCTGTCTTATAAAGAGTTGCAATTAATCACAACTTATAAGCAATTGAGATCAATTGCATCTATATAAATAAGAGATAAGAGACTGCAAGCTTGCATTTATAAAAGGATTTGCGATTGATTCAAATCAATCGCAACTCTTTAAAAGACGGGCCCTTGGACTCAAATTACCTGTCATGACAGTCTTTTCTGCTGTTGTACTCCTCTCTTCCAATCCTTCTTCGCCCATGATAGTTGTGACAGAAACAGTATACTCTGTATTATGCATCAGCCCCACGAAGGTAAATCCGCGTATGTCGCTACCCACTATCCTGGGCAGCTCCTGCAGGGCGGTTGGTGGTGAAATGTTGACTTCAAAGCCCCGGTATAGACCGCTTGCAGGTGAGTCCCATTCAATGCGCAGCGTGGTGATAGTTTCATCTACAACACGAAGAGACTCTGGAGGACTTGGAGCTGAAGGGTAAAGAAAGAAGAAATAGTAGGACACATTATTGCCACTTTTTTTTTTTCTTTTTTTTTTAAACTCTTCATATGATACACAACTTAGCTTCCTGTGCCATATCGTATTTAACATATGCCAAAGGCTTCAAGATTATTTTGACCGTTTCCTGTGCAAGATGAATTCATTACCGGTGTTAAATGAGTTGTCATGGAGCTAATCAAGATTGGAAGTGGGTGATTTTACAAAGCCATTCTGTTGCACAAAGGAAGCCTTCCGTCAATTGGTGCTTATTGTCTTGTGCAAGGTTGCACATGTGGTATAGAAGTAACCATGCAGAAAGACGAAGAAAGCAAGCTAAGTGTTAATAGAATGCAGCAGAAGTAATGACATACTATAGTATGCATACGGGTGCATATAAAGATGGACGACTAAATCTACAGTGTTGGAAAGCTCTGGTTTTACCTGTTCGAACCTGCAGTTGATCCAAAGGCGCTGGGAAAGTAGTGATGGGCTGGAGGAAAAGTGAGACCTCGTAGAGCTGCCCGGGAGTCAAGTTCGATATGGATTTTTGGTACGAAGTCTCCTCGCTCTGCTTCGGTATGACCTCATTGATACTGGCGGATGTGATCAAGTAGCCTGTGAATGTCTCAGGGTTCGGCTGCTCGTCCCACAAGAAAGTGAGAGCATTTGCTGTGTTGACGACTGACAGGATTCTGGCACCTGCAATCCATACAAGTGGCAAATAGGGTAAAAGAACAACCATCACAATTAGGGATTTTTATGGAAGTGTTGAAGGAATAACCCCAGCGGTTTCATGGTCTAGTGGATATATTGCAGGACTGTTAATCACATTGTTTGAGGTTCAAGTCCTGCTGCGGCACTAATATCCTTTGGCAAGATAATAATCAACATTTGACACTCTTTACCCAGGTGTAGTCAACAGGTATCCTGTAGGAAGAAATTGCTTGAATGCTTGAGTGCCTTATCATGGTATCTTGGCTAAAGCCAGGCTAATTATATAATCTATAATAGTAATACGCTAAGGCTCCGCGGGGGGCGCGACGTCTCCGCCGGCCTTTGTATTCTATTGTTTTTTAATGAGATCGCCGACCCAAGTTGGTGCGGCTATCTCCTCCTGAACCCTCCCCTCGGGGTACCGGTGACCGGTGCCGTCGTCCGCGGGAGAGTCTACTCTAGCGAATTGGCTATACTCCGCCCGAGGTCCTCCTCCGTGTCGACGTCCAGGGCGAAAACAGACGCGACATGCATAATGCAGGATATGCGTGACGACAGAGATACCTCATGGATATTCAACATGACATCCGTAGACACACGACCGATGACTGTCCACTCACATTAAGTTGCGTATTAAATGCACGACGCACAGGGTCGGGCTTACCCGAGTAAAGCATCTTTCTATAGGATATCCATTGTATAGTAGCTGCACGAGCCACAGAGATACACACGAAGCTTCCCGTCCACGTCCAAACTTAGGGACCTATTTCCATCATTATTGCCGCGATTTTTATATAGGTGTCGTGAATGGAGGTATGAAATGAAAGCTTATTTTGTGATTATTACGGCCATGCTACTAAATTTTGATTATCATTTTCTAAAGGAAAGTTTTCACAAGAAAACCATTGGACTGACAATTCAGTCGCAAGCTGCCTTCAGTCAGTGCAGTGCTGCTGTGCAGTGTGTGTGAGCTGCAATTTAACTCCAGCAAGCTCCAACACCGGCTCCGCGCACCGAAGGCGTCCGAGGCCTGCGGCGCCGGTGTTCGAGCTTTCTGGAGTTACACTGTGTGTGTGTGTGTGAGTACAGCTGAGCTGAGCTCGAGTCGAAGAGATTTGACACTTTGGAATTGTTATCTGTTGGTTTGCATCATTATTGCCGCGATTTCAATATAGTTTCGTGAATAGATTTACGAAACCTGAGCTTAGAATTAGTAAAAGTATTACTAATGTCTACGTTTTTAAACGACTGTCTGATTTTCTTGTGAAAATTTTACTTTGAAAAATAATTATCGAAATTTATGGTCAGAAATAATCACAATCTAGGGTCTATTATGTTACAGTTCTTGCATCAAATCAATGCATGAAAACTTATTTTTTGAACTAGAAAAATGTTTTTTTTTTAATAGGCAATTATGAAGAAGGAAACCTGAAACCCTGAGTTGAGTGTATATTTGTTTCAAGGGGCCATAAACCCCCAAAAGCTCGGGGGTTACGTTCTTCAAAGTTGGGAGGGGGGAGAGATCAGATCGCAGCGAGTTGAGTGTATATACAATATAGGCCCCACGTGGGGTCCACGGTTTCAAGGGGCCATAAACCCCCGAAAGCTCGGGGGTTTTAGGTGTTTAATTAGGGTCAGATGAGCATATTTTTAATACTTTATTTGTGACACTTGCGGGTCACTAATTGGCGTGGGGTCAATACGTAGAGTTGCGTAGTGTTGCTACCAACTACGCTGGCCTACGTTACTATATGCTGAGGGACAGAAAGGGGTACGCAAGATGAACGAAAACAAGTCAACATGTTTAATTTTTTTCGCGTACTTTCAGCGTAGAAACTTGACGCGGAAAGTACGCCTTTTTACGCAACACTATGCTACCCTACGCCAGATCGTCAAAGCAGTAAAAGCTTTCCACACAGTAAGCAACCATATAAGCAAACCTGTATGCCAGCCTACGCATAACCTACGCAGGGACTATTTTCCCATTAATACGCAGCCTAATTTCTGCGTAGTCGGTACACCACACTACGGAACTCTACGCAGTTCCAGTGGCTTCAAGAATAACTACCGGTACAGTTGGATCTTTTTTTAATTTTTTTTATATAAGGCCAAATTTTAAAAAAAACATGTTTAGCGTCCTGTTTTTTCGAAAAATGGGAAGGAGGAGGCCCTTTTTTTTTTTTTTTTTTTTTTTTTTTTTTTTCTTTCAAAATGGCTGCTCAGTACATTTTCCCTGACATTCAGGCTATTTTTCAAGATGGCGGCCGACAATTTTTTTTTTTTCTTTTTTAAGATCAGAAATACATTTTAGCAGTGCTTTTCATGTTTTTTTTCTTTAAAAAAAAAAAAAAAAAAAAAAAAAAAAAAATAGGAGAGGCCGGCGGCCCCCAGAAAGGAAGCGGGTGGGGACGCTGTTTTTTTCTGTCAAAAAAAAAAAAAAAAAAAAAAAAATTCAACAAAATTTCAAAAAAAAAAAAATAGGAGGCGGCCCCCAAAAAGGAAGCGGGCGGGGAAGCTGTTTAAAAAAAAAAAAAAAGGAGGTGGCCCTCAAAAAGGAAGCGGGCGGGGACGCTAAACATGTATATTTTTTTAATGGCCTGAATGGCAAATAAAGTTCTTGACGATCTCTATATATCTATTTACACCCCCCGCCCCCTCTAGAATCCCGCGGATTTCCGCGGGTCCTGCTAGTAATAATAATAATATTACTCAGCTTTGATATAGCGCGAGTTACGATGAAGTCTCTAAGCGCTTCCAAACTTGGATATTATTACCCCAGCTTTAGCTGTGCTGCCATTACGGAGCTCTAGCATTTCAAGGAATTAATTCCTGCCAGGTTCCCATTTACATCACCTGGGTTGAGTGTGGCAAATATAGATCAATGCCAATATGATTGCAGGGCCCTCAGGGAGGACAGTTGTAATCCTGATGAGGCTACCCTGGGTAAATAAGACATATCATTATCATTAATTTTCAAGTTGGTAACACCCACAGTATGCCCTTGTATGAACTACCTGCTGAAGGCTTCATGAACTCAAAACATGAAGCACTAGCCAATTACTGGGATTTGAATTTCATATTTTAGATTCCAAAGATCGAATGATATACATTAGGATATGACTATGTGAAAACCAATGTAATACATACATGAACCTATGATTGTTGTACATATGATGTTGAAATATGATGTTGTAAAGTGCAATGGTCTTTTTCAATGATGATCAAAGTAAGTCTACTAAGCTTCACATTACTGTATCCTATAACAAAGAGCTCAGTGAGTACATGTAAGACTGCAAGAAGTTTGCCATTCATTTACACATTAAAGGTAAAGACCAGTATTGGAAACGCCCCAATTTCAAAAAATGAAATGGAAGCTCTTATTACCAATCATGTGAAAGAGTATGTTTTGACTAATACATGATGATACAAATTTTGCCGGGAAACCGCCTACTAATTGATATATTTGGTAAATTTGTTTATCAATTGGTGTGTGAGAGATAAACGCACGTGTCGCGCACGTGTGCGTAGTCCCATGTACATCTTTCTGTGTACAGTGCTTGTAACTTTACGAAGACTGGGCCAAATCTCTTATCATATTGATGATTCCAGAACCTTGTAGTACACACCAATACTTATATGCTAGATGATTAACCTTTTCTGATCGATTCCACAACGTTTCTTTCACAATGCCATCGCATGACCATTACTGGTCTTTATCTTTAACAACTGCTGATGTTACATCTTTGTATCTGATCGAGCCTTTTGTGACTTACTTGTCCTGACGACTTCCTCCAGGGGCTCTCCTGACAAACGCTTGCCATCGCTGCCATCGCCAGCTCCTGTTCGTCCCACGCTGCTCAGCCGTACAGTATAGCTTGTATCCGCATCCAGACCATGGATGTCGTACATTCCGTCATTGTCTATCCTCGCCTCCCAGGTATTGGAGGGAGATTCAGTATCGAAGTACTCAAGGACCATCTCAGCGATGTTTGGCGGTGGAGTCCAGCGAATCTCGATCAGGCGAGAGCTGACCGCTGTGATGGTTACGGAGGATGGGGGTGAAGGCCCTGAGTGGAGACAAATTCACATGTACACATTCACATTTGTGACGAAAACACAGGTTAACACACAATAAAACACAGCACCTACAGAGGAAGGATCGAGCTTACGAAGGCAATCGTGGAGACGGCAAAATAGAAATTGAAATAAATATCATCAACACAAAAAACTTCTTTACACACAAGTTAGTACATATACATGCACATGCACAACACACGCAAATGGACTACATATACATGTACATTAGGTGCAGTAGAGACTGCGGAACATTCACCCACTGCTGCAATAGTGAATTAAAAAGGAACACTGAAATCACTGTAAGCAGGAATTTACTTACATTTGCTAGAAGACTACACTTAGAGGGTGTTAAAAATATGCTACTACGATTCTTTGGTTTCTAAGATGAAAATGAAATATTCCAAAAATTTCTCTTCTCCCTAATTGTCATGTATAATCTACCCTGGTACTCTCTCAGGTAATCCACACAACACCTATTGAAGAAAGTCTCATAGGAAAACCTGTGGAGAAGTACAAGGTTACTTTAGGGTGAACCGAGACTTGCTCCTGCGACAATTGCTCCAAACTTCATTCTGTCAAAGGTATAAGGTTAGGTTGCTAGTTGCAGCAGGGTTTTAGGTTTAGGTTCTAGGATAAAGGATAGGGCTCACGTTACGTATACAGTCGGGCCTGAACAGTTCACATGCATGCAACTGGAAGAAAAATGTTTTACTCATTGCATTCATTCCTATCAGGAGTCACATTATATAAATGTCTCGGAGCAATTACAGGTGACTATACACATTAAAAGGAGGCCAAACTTGCCTGTCTTCCCGAGGTAAAAAGTAGGAAGGAATGATTGAGTTGTGATAGTGTTTTTTTTCTTTCTACCAGGTGTATGTAGTCTTTCAGGCCTGACTATACATGTAAGGGTCCAGGATCGAAGTTAAGAATTCGGTTATTAGATCTATCCGTTCACATTGTTACAGCTAAAAAAAACTGTCTCAGACATAGGTACACAGACGTTTATACTCCCAGAAATATAATGATGAAGACTATTTCATTATTACTATATGCAGGAAATTGAAGGGGAGCAATTCTACAAGCTATATCCTTTTTAGTAAGTTCCTTTTTTCACATGTAATTTCGAAATTATTTAGTGTAAATGCCATACAAACTTATGCTATGTACATGTAGATGTCTTTATTGTTCACGAATATCAATATTGTAAATATGCTATGTTTTGTTAATGTATTGTTTTTGTTTTTTCATGTGACATAACAGAAACTAAACTGATATGCAATCTAGAATGTAACCTATTGCACCATTCGAGAATTCAGAAAGTACCGAATTCCTCTTTTCTTTGATATGTCAGTGTCTGAATCTAAAATCTAATTGGTGTGTCCAATCTATTTAACCTTGTAAAGTGAAACCGCATAACAAAGGCTGCTCAATGGAGACAAGAAAAGTGGTCCTTATAGGCAGGTGGTTTTTATATGTTCCTTTACTACAGGTTTCAATGGGAACCGATTTTCAAGGGAAATGAAAAGTGTGGTCTTTCTATACAGGTGGTCACTACAGCAGGTTTGACTGTACTGTATAAGGTGACAAAAAGTGCAAGCTACTGCCACTCACTTGTTCAATCTTATATAAACTTGTAAAGTGAAACTGCATAACAAAGGCTGCTAAAAGGAGACAAGAAAAGTGGTCCTAATTATAGTCAGGTGGTTTTATATGTACAGGTTCCTTAAGTATGGGTTTCAATTGGAACCGATTTTCAAGGGAAATGAAAAATGTGGTCTTTCTATACACATGCAGGTTGACTGTACATGTATAAGGTGAAAAAAGTGCATGCTACTGTCACTCACTTGTTCTCACTTTCTCCAGTTCCATAGACACTCCATAGGGGTCCATGTAGGAGACAATATAGAGCTGCCCTGGGTCTAGAGAATCAAACTCTCCCTCAATGCTGCACAAGTCAGAGTTATTAGTGAGGCAAACAGGGTCATCCAGGCGCTGGCGGCAGTACTCGACCAGGCAGACGCTGTAGCCGGCTTGGCCCAGGCGCCCCCAACGAACAGCAATGCTGGTGGAAGTTAAAGAGTCAACAACCGGTGTAGACTCGTTAGCTGGACGCAGGCCCACTGAAAATCAATCACAAGAAAAATAGCAACACCGTTCATTCATCAAGACATAACATTTATACAAATATTAAAAGGCCTTACGGTCAATACAAGGAATTATCGGACAAGATATGCCATAATGTTGGACAAGTTATAGACAGGTCCTATTTTGATTTCATATAGGATTCAATATTACCTGACAAAAGCGGGTACAGTATTATCATTACCCTGGTGACTGGATTTAATTACTATTCTGCATATTACAGTGCACATTCTTCACTCCCAGGGAAGCATTCCAGCTACTTGCCTTTTTACAGGTGCGCACATGCTATTCCAATCACATTGACATTCCCATCCTACCAGGTACCCATTTAACACCTGGGTGGAGAGGAGCAACTTGGATAAAATACCTTGCTTAAGCATACATGTCAGTGCAGTGCCGGGGCCACTACAACACCTTTTGGTTTGCAGATCTCTTGACTTGCATCCTGCATCATGGCTGACTGTAACCAAATTGTAATCTTTGCTATTCCACTATGCATGCTCTGTGAATAATACAGTTATCAAAATTGCAGCGCATTTCCATACATGTATACATATGCTTGTGTGTTAGGCACTTCGTTGATCGATGTATTGAGCGCTATATTAACACAGAATATTATTATTATTATTATGCATATATAGGGTGAAAACTCGTTCCTAAACACATGGCAAAACCTGAATGATTTCTTTCAAGAATATACATGTACCTGTTGAATTTGTGGCAGTTGGTGGTGTTTCGGTTGCGTATTGTTTTTCAAACGATCCGCTCTCCTGCAGCAGGGAGACGAGTTCTACTGTGTATTCCGTTTCTGGCTCAAGACACTTGAAAACAAATTCAGTGACATTTCCTGAAACATTGACAGATCGCACCTCCGTGCTGTTTGTTGAGAGTGTAAGCAGAATCTCATTGGAGCTTGTGACAACGTCGGGTGGGTCCCAAGATGCAATGAGTGTGATCTCGTCGAGAGATGTCAGGAAGACATTACTGACCGAATCAGGATCTGCGAAAGAATATGAAAAGTTAATCAAAAAATTGCACAGACGAACATGCAAAGGGCAGCTATACAATACGTCTGCACTTCATTTAATTTAATTTATTTAATTTTAATTGAGGAACTTTACATAACTATCTTGATCTAAGGAGACTGGAATGAACGGCAACAAATTTCACTTGAAACTGACAATAATTTTCTATGACACATGTATTCTTCGTATGCTGGATATCCTATTATTCCTTGCATGCTAGTCAGTACGCTTACCAAATATCCCATAACATTTCAAGCAAAAATGACGTTCATTTCATAAGAAAAGGGGGCCGAGTCATTTAGACAGTGCAAAAACTCTTAGACGAATAGTGCAGTGGGTTCTTAACATGCAGAGGTAGTGACTCTCTTCTACAGGGTCTCCATTCAACATCCTCTCCAAGGGAGAGAGTGTTTCCAAGTCATAGCCTGCATTTATGATATAGGGGAGGGGCACATTAACACACAACACAAACTTCAGTCATCCACCTTGGTTGATGCTTTACCGACTGAACAATTTCGTCTCCTAGAAATAAATGGTAGATGCGACAGAGTACTTTTATTAAATGACATCTTTCCCAGTATGCTACTGCCGATTAGAAGCATATGAAGGGAGCACTACATGTATTTCTGCGCAGACATGGCACTTTAGCCATACAACGTACATGTACATGTATGTCCTGATGATCTCAGAAGTAAGCTGTGATTGTGCAACACATGCTCCTGCGATAATTGCTCTGTGGTAGTTTTGTACACTAAATGAATTCCTTACTTGATTCCCCGGATCCAAAACTATATACACGTAATCTGAACCCTAATCCTAACCTAAAAGCCAATTGCAATCTAACCCTGACCCTATACTTTTGACAGAATATACCCTGGAACAATTGTTGCCGGAGCAAATGTGGAATCACCATAAGTTGTAAATGTGTAAACTTACCAGTTCTCACACTTCCCGCTGCTACAGAACCAGACGGGCCGGTCTCAACCAAGACATTGTAAACTGTCGAGGAAAGCACGCCCTCAAAGTCAGCGAATGGTATCGAGTCATGTGACATCAGCATTTGCTGGTCACTGGGCGGGGCCGTGATGTTGTAATTCCCGGTGAAATTGCGATCGCGGTTCCACCATACTCTAAACGCTGTTGAGTTGACCTTCGTGAAGACAAGTTCAGTCTCTCCTATCATCACTAGGAAAGTCAAGAAAATAGGCTACTGTTCATATCTAATGCACACATGTACATTGTTAATGGTACTTCCTAGTAATAAATAGTAGTAACAGGAAGGCCAGTTAGAATTGGTCAAAGGGCCTGAAAATCACCTAGAGTGAGCTATGTTGTACACAAAAAAAGCCTAAACTATGGCCTGAAAATAACTCGCCATCCCTGTAGTAATAATAATTACAATAAACTTTTTTTAACCCAGGGAAGGCTCATCAGCGTCAATGCTGGGTTCTGTTTCATAAAACGTGTTATCAATAACCACTGCCACAGATCTATGACAAATCTGCCCAGAGTCAATCAAAAGCAAGGATTTCAGTAAAAATATATTTCATTAAAAAAATTATAAAACAGGGCCCTGTTCTTACAGAGGGGCCTGAAATAACTAATACCCTATTAATTGACAGGTTCCCATTTACAGCTACAGGTAGGTGGAGAGTGGTAGAGGTCAATTAATGTTTTGCCAAAGGATGTTTAATTAGTGCCAGGTTGGGATTTGAACCCTCAACCCTGGGATTGAGTTAAGTGAATGAATCCCTCTCCCTCAACACCTCCACTTCAGTTGTTATAAGCAATCCTAAAGCTTGCTGCTTAGCCCAAGCGGCAACAGGAATACATAAGTTGCCTTTTTGTAAATATTATGTTATATAATTTTTTATCTTGTTATTTAGTGTAGAAAATCAAAGCTGTGTATTTAATCACAGAACATATTTTAGCCTAGATGTAGAATAGTTTGTAGCTTAAGTATGTATTCAAAAGTTATTCATATTTATTCATTATATTCTCATTCATTGTTGTGATAGTGGTAGCAGATTTAATAGCATATAATGCTATTTCCTGGCCCCATCATTCCTTTCAATGAAAATCACATTGGATTGTTAAATTGATCTACTTTTTGTTTGGGCAATAAAACTTCACACTCAAACTCAAACTCAAAACATACATTTCATCTCATTCCTAACACAGTTCCCCCAATACTCTAAATGTTGTCCCTAATGAAGAGGAGTTCAGTCGCTCCCATCACCACAAGGAAAGTCAAGAAAAATAGGTCACTGCTCACATTTTATGTACATCATATTTCTTACCGAGTGTAATAATCGCTATTTTGTTCTGTATGTTCTGGGTCCCTGTGGCTGGACTTCATTAAAAATATGAATGTCAAATATTACTATTCTCATAAAGGGATATTGCTAGTTTAAATAGACTTTCAAAGCATATAAGAGCAACTAGTGAGATCGCTAATCGACTGAACCTTACAAGCTTGCATATTAGTGCGATTTGGGTTCCGTGCCTGATGTTTTCTGTTATTCTTTATTTTCTTCATACCGGTTCTCATTATCTTGTCGCCCATAGAATGCAGGGTGAAGTTTTTTTAATGTTGATTTCATACAATTTATTGTGACACTTAACATCATTTTCCCTATTTTTTGCATAAATTTTTCTGTATATAGCCCATAGCCAATTCATAGACACACATGTACACTGTTCCTAATGAGGTTGGAACATGTTTTTGCTCACCTCTTTTTCACGTAAACATTCTTGTTAATAGATAAAGTTTATGTCTTCTCGAAACTTTATTGATCAATCCCTGTGACTCTTTTAGAAAGATCAATAAAGTTATGAGAATACTGTATATATCTATCAAGATCAATCATATTGTCACAGTTATTCTATGAAGAGAGGTAAGAAAAGATCATTACAACTTTATGTGCAACAGTGTACATGTGCCAAATTATGTATATGCATTCTTTACCAAACCAAACCAAAATTTTACTTACAAGTTCTGCCGATAGTTTCAACCGGTGCGCTACATTCCTCATTCATACTTCCTGCACCGCTAACGGTCACAGCCTGCACAGTGTAACCTGTGTCTGGCACCAAATCATCAAGGACAGTCTCAAGTTCGTTTCCTCCCAATCTTTTCGCCAAATCAAAGCCAAATTCTTGCGGGGACCTCTTTCTTCGCTCCTGTACTGCCTGGAAGTCGTCCATGGTGAGTACGTAGAAGGCATTGTAGTCGCCTGTTGGTGGAGTGAGCCTCACGCAGAACGAGAAGAAGGTCTCGCCGACATCTGGACAGATCGAGACGTTGTATGGAGGAAGAGGCTCTGCGAACAAAGATACAATGATATAATGATGGTGGCTTCTTATATAGCGCACATGTCTGTCACATTGTGACGCTCCTGGCGCTGCCCCGATTATGAACTAATATTGTGCAACACATCAGCTATGCAAAATTATCCAATTCAGGTCTTGACTAGCTCCATGACAACCCTATTAATACCAATAAGCTTGCCTGAAAACAGTCAAACAATTTTGAAGCTTTTGGTATATATATCGAATGATGAATACATTGTGGCACAGGGAGATTATTTGTGTGGCAGAAAGAAAGTTAAATAATTCTATCCTGAATAGACATGTATATGTATATGTAAGGCATCACTGCAAAAATGCTGTATTGCCTGTCCTGGGGAGTGTTTCACAAAGACTAAGATCGACTTTAAGTTGGACTGAACTATGGCAGGCCATTCATGCCACTGGTTGCTCTCACCATTGGTCTCTCAATCATGATCTTTAGATAATACTTTTTCCTTCATTGATGAACTATTAAGAAAGGTAAATTCTGTAGATTTGCGACAACGATTTGTACTGACCTCACTACGATTCTTTGCATGTTCATATAAAATGCTGTTGCAAATTGAAATTGGATTGTAGCAGAGAGCTTCCTTACTTGTTCTTTGAAAGATGGTTTCAAATGGTAGGACGCTGATATTATAGAGTCTCCCAGGAACAAGGCCAGTAACCTGAGCGCTTCTGTTACCGATGTTCAAGTCAAGGGCGCCATCGTTGGGTATGATGGAGATGCTAACGTTGAGGTCAGAGGTCATGTTCGGCCAGGTAAACATGATGCTGGTCGTGTCATATTCAAAGACTGTAACTGTCCCATTTGCCTCAGCTGGATAAAATTAAATGAGATGTTAATGATTCATAGATTTATTGAATTAATTCAGCAACAATAACAACGTGTTTGATAATTCATATCTTTATATTTCTCATATCCGCCCGATAGCGTGGAAATGGCTCATAACATTAATGTGAAATCCCCCGAAAAGAGGAATTATTCCTCAAAAAAAGGAAGGATTGACACGTATGTTAATGAACAACGTAGCAAATTATATTCTAATGTATGCAGAAAACAATTCCCAATCATTGAAAGCCTGGGAAATTCCCTTGCCGTTTATTTACAGATGCATGTATGTTTTAGTAGTTTCTCATAATTACCATTATATGGAAATATATATCAGTGTACAACTGTACATGTATGAATGTAGAATACAATCTCCCATCTGTGACAGAATTTTTGTTTACAGGTGCATGATTGCTTTAGAAATTTCTCATGATTAAACGAACAACAGCTTACCAGTGTATGCAGAATACAATTCCCCGTCGCTGAAAGCCTGGGCTTTTCCCTCGCCCACGACCGTAGACACATTGAATAGGTATTCTGTGCGTGGCGTTAGTCCTTCCAGGAAGATAGAGGTCACATTGGGATAGAGGTAACCCACCTCTGTGAAGTTACCAAGCTCATCCGCTCTCTCGTAGGCGACGTAGTACCGGTCAAACATGGTCTCGTTGCCTGGGTCGGACCAGGCGATTAAGAGCGAGGTAAGTTGGCTGTCGGCAGTCTCTATGTTCACTGGTGGTAACGGACCTGAAGGATAATCATATCGTTCACACATGGTTACATTCATTGCACTGTCTTCACTGCCAAATCATACTGACACATGTTTCTTGCAGAATTAAAAACAAAATTACAAAGTGAATAGGAAGTTCTATAGATGCATAGTTTTTGTGACATGTAACTTTCACATGTTGTAAACATAAGATATTTTCATAGCAAGCAGAAATATGAGGCCATATTAATTCAGCTAATCATTATCATCATCAAGCAAATTTAGAGAATTCCTCTCCAAAATTTTGTGTTATGCCAGTTTTTATTCAAATATTTGGGGAATAAAACAAAACTTTTGCAAATCTGAACAACTCAAGAAATTCGCTGACATTTTATATGCACTAAAATTTCAGGTCTTAATCTAATCTCTTACGTGTGTACTGCTGAAGGGTTCCACACACACCATCCTGATCAATGAAGACGTGGTATTTCCGACCAGATTGGAGGTCATTGATGTTAAAAAACTCGCTGCCGTTGCCAACAGCACAGATAAATTCGTTCTCGCACACAGTCTGGTTCTCGCCGTCCAGGTTGAATCGTATATTAACATAATCCTGAGTGTTGTTGCCCCATCCGACCTGAATGGAATCCGCAGACAGCGCAGTAACTGCTGCACTGCCATTTGCAGGAGACTCTAGAACATTTATAAAAGAAGGACAAGGTAAGATAATGGAAAATCATGTATTAACAGCATTCCAAACAAACTGCATTTACTACTCGGGTATAACGATCTAAAGGTAAGATCTAGATGTTGCACTGACAGGTGGGTAGATGGTTTGTTTTACCTGACTGATAAGAAAGCAGGAGTATGATTATATGTTAGCAATCAGGGTACCAACAGATTTCAGTCTTCTCTGAGAGACAAATGGTGCGTCACATTTTCAAGAAGATGGCTGCGCCCATGTCATGCTAAAAGGCATAACATCATACCAAGAATATCTTTATTATATATCTCTTGTATACTTTTGTAAGGAATTTTTTACATCTAAGGGTAAGAATACATCTCATTTTTCAGAATACCTCTACTTGTTTTGTAGAGTGAGGCTTCCTTTAGGTCTTCTCTGAGGGACAATTCACTAACCTGTTCTGAAAGAGATGTACGAGGGCTCACTCCTCACATCGAGGGCCCCCACGACCGTGACCACTGTGACGTTGTAATTGGTGTCCGGCAGAATGCCGATGAAAGAAAATTCAACCCTTGTTTGGTTCTCATTGATGTCCATGCGGTAGATGGGAGCTGGAGAGTTGGTGAAGCCATGGTCTGGACTGTAGGTCACTTCAAAGAAATCGTACTCACTTTCAGGGATATCCCACGTCACTTGACCTGCGCAAGAGGAGATGCTGCCCAAAGACAGATTGGCAGGACTTATGGGTACTAGATGGGTACGAGAAGAGAGAGAATACATGTTCCTTTTCTGTTTGCTTATATAAAATAGGCATAGGGGTAATATTAGTATAGCACTTAAAAACATTAATTTTAAGCACTATGTAAATGTTATTATCTACCATGTATGAAGGTTCTAGTCTCTGAATGATCAAACTGCAGGCATGAAATACGCTACTGACTACTGGACAGTATACAGCCAAATAACATTGACCTGGCATAGCTGTACTTGTGCGTACAATGTAAACAAACAATGATCGCGCATGAAGTTAACAATGGTTACGTGCAGTGAGACATGCGTAATGCTGATAGACAGGTATTATCTCCTTGCACTCAACAAATAAATACACTTTATTAAACAGATATATTTGTTAAAATAAATAATGAAACAATAAACATATACGTTAAGATTTATAAACTACATTGTTGGGTAAACATTCTTCTTGGTCAAGTATTTCAGGATTTTGTTGAATCATCTTTTTCTCTCTCTAATATTCTTTTAATACTGACTCTATAAAACAGATGAAAAACACTGATATAATTTGCCTTATGTAAACAAAGGTGAAACCGACGCCTGCATGCTTATGCCATTCATACTGCCGAAGAATTGACTCGCTTGGACGAACCTCGACCTGAAGTGAAGAATAATTGCGCAATCGCTTGGTAGCTGGGCATGCGCTTTGACTTTGGATTTGATTGGCAGGGCAGCTAGCTAGCGCTATAGCTCAATGCAGCTCAGCGATTTCGGCCATCAATTACATTTACAAGAGCTAGATCATCTTGCGCTGGTGGAACACAACCATTGATCTACGGTGGCTGCTTCTATTTCCTTTATTTCGGACATTACAGTCCAAACAAGCATTTTTTTAATGCAATTCATCTGGCTGCCAAATGAGTATGAAGCTAAATTACGCAGGAGGCAGCAGTTTTGCCGATCTCGAGCATGGACGTTGTGGCTATTCAGCACCGCAAATAATTGCAGCAAAATGTAACCAACACAGCTGGGTTCCAAAAAAAGCGAGCGTACACTACAGTACCCGGAACAAGATAATGACGTTCGACCTATTCCCCTGTGTTTTTTCTCCATCGAATGCGTTTCATCGAAGTCGCACTGATAGAAAGAGAATTTCTCCTGCTCTTGTGCAGGAGAAATTTATAAGCTAAATTGCCCGGATATTTCTCCTCTACCCCTTTCACAGTGGCCGTTTCCTCGGATGCGTCCCGATGCATCCAATGGAAATCAGGCCACTATGAAAGGGGTAAAGGTTCCTAATTTTCTTATCTTGCACAAGAGAGACAGCACTGTGATAACAGAAACAAGACCATTACAATTACCAGTGTTGAAGGTGAGGGTTACTCCACACGCAGACTCCCACCCTAGTGAAAATGTGTAGGCTGCACCAGGGAAAAGGTCACTAAATTCCGTCGTCTTCTCAGTCACGTTACGGCAAGTGGCATTCCCCATAATCTGCTGAATGCAGACATCATACTCGGATGCGTCTGGAAGGTCATACCATCCAAACGCGATGCTGGTTGATGTCACCGTTGTAATGTTGAAGGCACTGCCAAGGGAACCTAGTATATTTCAGAAATATATTGGAATGTGAAGACAGTAGAAGAAGTAATCTTGAGGAGAACAAAAAGGGCCATGACACGTTTGCTTGGATGATTTATTTCCCTTATTGCCCTTCTCCAAGTTTTCCGATCTTCAGCAAGTTTTGCAAGGTCTGCGGTTTGTGATAAATATTTTAATTGATTATCTTTTTTTGTTCCCATCTATGCTTCAAGGCTGCATAATAATAATAGTAATGCAGACACTTACAATGCCCAACAAATCCGTCCAGATGGTGCTCATGGCCCTTATAATAGAACAGAACAAAAGTTACTTAGGGGAAAACACTTGTCATTCTGTAGAGGTGTCATGATCGAGTGGATATGTTACCGGACTGTGGATCACAAGTCCTGCCGCGGCACTAGTGCCCTTTACCAGAACATTAATCCACATTTGCCACACTTGTCCCAGGTGGGTTACATGGGTCCCTGGCAGGAATTAATTCTAATGAAATGCTACAGCACCTTAATGGCAGCCATGCTAAACCCTAGGTAATAATTTCCATAGCTCTTTGGGAGTACATAGAGACCTTAAAATGTGATATGCGCTATACAAAAACCCAAAATATAATCATTATTAGATGTGTTTTTCTCTGAAAGTGATCTACAGTTTTACAATTTTTTCACTGATTTTGGAAGTCTGTTCCCCAACAGGGAGCTGCAGAGATTATCACTCCCCCGTAATCGTTAAGTTTGGGCTTGTGAAGGTTGATAAGAGAAGAGATGTATTGTGGTTAGGCTAATTAAAGCTAACATAGTAGTTACTCACTTGGACTGATCTTGACGGGGTTGCTTCTGGTCTGGGTCATTCCTGCACCAGCGAGCGTGGTGATGTTCACCTCAACACCTGGTCCATCCATCAAACCCATGATTGTTCTCTCCAACTGCAAAGAGTTCCTGTCGAACACATTGATAGGACTGTATGGACCACTGCCGTCGTCGTACATGATCTCGTAACCGAAGAGCTGGCTTTCAGGACGAGACCACTGCAGGGTGACAGAGTCTTCGGTGACCCAAGTAAAGACGGCGCACACCGGCTCAAGAGGTACTGTAAAAGATAATATAATAATAATAAAAACAATAATAATAATAATAATATTGATGATGATGATCTACAGCACTTGTATGGTGCCATTTATCTGTTTCAAACATTCAAAGGCACCCGCTCTTCCAATAGTCATGGACTACGCATTTGCTTGAATAAAAAAATTTAAAAAAAAAAAAAATTGGTTTTGAGGCCTGACTTCAAATCTTTCTAGCTTGTTGGTGTCGCGAAGAACAGGAGGGAGGGAGTTCCTGAGGCCTACACTAACGATGAAAATACTAATGATAATGATAATAACAACAACTATTATTCTTGTGTCACATGATATTACGTGCTTCCAAAGGACTTTGATATCATTACCCTGGCTTAGCTCCAGCACCCGCGGTGCTCATTCTATTCATGGATCAAATCCTACCAGGTATCCACTTTCTACATCTTGGTCAAGTGTGGCAAATATGGAATAATATCTTGCCAAAGGATGATATAGTGCAGCGGCAGGGATTCAAACCTTGGACCTGGTAGTTCACAGTACAGAGACTTATCCACTATACCACAATACCTCTCTAGACATGGAAGATAATTGGAGCACCAAGAATGTCAAGTCTGACAGACATGAATGGTATACAAGAACCGACAATTATTGGTAATAGGAGTGATAGATGTCACTTTCGTCTTACAGATGAAGGTGTACATGTACAGAGTATCAAAGGTACACATGTAATGTTTATTGCTTTAACTAGAATAGTGAACTATAAGGAATCCTCCTGCAAATGTCATTCGTGTCATAATACCATGCAACACACATTTATATCTCTGTGTGTGGCGTAATTGGCAGACAGGGAACAACGCCCTGTGTGCATTGATATGGTAAAAGGGTTAATTAATTTTGGTATTAAAGCCCTCGTAAAACTATTGTCAAATTTCTTTGATTTTAGATGATAAATAGCAAGATACTAGCTAAGCTGCTGTGAATTTGTTTCCACCTCAAGTGAAATAGAAAAATGAAAAATAATAATAACATCTTTGAATGTAAATTCTCACAACATTATCCTGCACTACTCGCATGTAAACCCTATGAGGATTGTGTGTATATATGCTACAGTCAACACACACACTGTCTCTAAGCGAAGTGCTCGGATTGATATGCCAGGAACCTTTGGGAGGAAGGGTCCTATCGTAAGGGTGTGTATATAGCTATTATCTATCCATTCCTTGTAGATATTCCACTACAATTCACCTGATATCATAGATAGAATACCAAATCATCTTGTATATACACATGTATGCTTTGATACAAGGAGAATTACATGAGACAGTCATCAAATTTAAACAAAATTGATCCAGTTTCTATTTTGATACCAAACATGCATGCTCATTGTACATGAGCTTCGACTACCGACTTACATGTATACTGTCGAAGAGAGAGAACTTCTCCGGCGCACTGCAACCCAATTTTGATGATGTACTCCTCTCCCGGCATCAGTCCTGAGAAGCTGGCCTTGAGGGAACTTCTGATGACTCCTGAGAACAGCTCAGTGTTGTTGCTGGCCAGGGTGAGGTTGACAATATAGTCGGTGATTCCTGCAAACTCGGTCCACGTGATTGAGATGGATGTCGAGGTCAACTCTTCCACGTCAATAGTCCCAGGTTCCCTTGGGTCTGTGGGTGCATGGATGGAACACATGATATAAATATGCATGCTCAGGCGTTCAATATAACAAAATAAATGAACCAACAAATTCAGAATTTCCTGGAAGATTTTATATTTCATTAGGCCTCACACCGAGGTTGAAATATAATGGCGTTGCATGACCCCAAAACTGTACAATCTGCAGCTGGAACCCCTCTGCATGTCATCCGCAAAATATGCTTGCCCAGTTTGAAGCAGATGAGCCCATATGAAGAAGCTTGATACTACACTCAATAACACATATCGAAAGCTAACAGGCTACCTGAAACCGACAAAAGTTGAGGAAATGTATCACCTCGCTGGCATCGGATCTCCTAACCAAGGACGCTCTAACACCTGCCTAAAGGAACGGATGAAGCAGGCGACATGTTATACGGCTACCTGCCACCCCACAGACGCCATGTATCCCGACACAGCTTCCTCGATTCAGTCCCACCACCTGAGCAGATTCCTCCACCACCAGCCAAGCCCATCATAAGGACTCATCAAAGGACTAAACCTGAAGTGGCCAGAGTGGAAATGCCTAAATCAAATGCGGACGAGAATGGGGCGGTGTGAGGTCAAAATGGCAAGATGGGGCTATGCCCATGAAGAAGAGACTCTCTGCGACTGTGGAGAGCCTCAGACAATGGGCAACATTTTGAAGTGCGGTAGAACGGGTTGCACAGATGAAGACCTGGCCCTTGTAAATGAGATGGCCATCGCAGCCATTGGGCGATGGAAGAAATTTAATTTAATTCAATTTAATTCAATTAAGAAACTGTACATTAATCTTGATCTAAGGAGACACGAACGAACGAACAACGTACAGGTACAGAGAGCTTGACACCGACTACGGTATTGCTATAGACAACGGCATTAAACATTGAGGTGATCGTCAAAACCGAGCTGAATACACATTCTCTACAGGGTAGACATCATGGCGCATGCGCAGATCATCAGAATGACGCAATGTTGCAATTTACTATGTAGATGTGACAATCGAAGAGTCCTTAATGTATGCTCTCACCACACTATTCAAAAGATTCATCTGTAAAGGAAAGGTCAACTGTAAGAAAAAGCCATCATGTTAAATTCTGAATCTGAAAGACGATAGAAGGTTAGATACATAAACTGTACATTAATAAATAAGACCCATCACACCAAAAAACACCATAGAGTAACAGATATGATTTTTAAGACCATTTCTAAAACAGAAGATATTCTTAGCTTTACAATGACATAAAACTCATCAGAATTGAAGGGGAAAAAGAGATTGAAGAATATCCCAGTCCCTAGAGATGTTAGTTTTATTTAGAGGAAAAGAGGCGTTTAAAATTTGGAATTTATTGAAGCCCTCTCACTCACAAGGCTTTGTACTAGAAGATTAAAAGAAGGATTAGAATTCAATAATATAATTTTCTGTGAAAACATTATCTAATTAAGCACATCCTGTTCAATATCAAATTAAGCACATCCTGTTCAATATCAAATCGAAGTACCTACCTACTTATATTACTGTAGACTGTATTTTTAAATAATGGTAATGTACAAGTACATCAAAATAAACAAACGGACAAAACGTTAAGAAAGGAGATTAATCAAATGAATTCCATACCACACAAACAAAGATATACAACAAATTGATTTGTTTTCGGTGGTGTTTCTTAATTAGACATTTCATACCTGAAGATGAATGTATACTTTTACAGAAAAAATACCACACAAATGAACAAATTACATCTTTATAGCACTCTAACCTAAAAGTCAGGCCATCAGTCAGACACAAATTATGAAAACAGAGAACAGGCAAATACTTCAAAAACGGCAAAGGAGAGCCTTCATCGTGCGATGCGAAGCAGTGTGTATAAAAGGCATTGGGGAAGTCTGGCAAAGTCACCCTGTTGTTAATAAAATATTTGTTTAAAGAAAAATAGTGTGGCTCAATTAACTTCAAAATCCTTGAATGGTTAGTCGGACTGTAGATAACGAGGTTTGGAGTTTGAGTCCCACTCCGATAATAGTGTAATAGTGGGAAAGCAAGATCTACATGAACATTTGCCACTCTCCAACCAGGTGAAGTATAAAATTAGTACCTGGTAGGATTTAATTTACTCCTTGAATGTTTAAGGCCCCTTAAGTCAACTGGGATAAATCTACGGTAATGATAGTACTTTGTCTTTGTAGGTGCCTAGAGTGTCCTCTTGGATGGATACCCGCACAATATACAAATGCAGCTATTGTTATCATTATCAAAATAACATTTAAATGGCAACCATTTGAAATAATTGTATCCACAACATTGTTTCTCAAAAATAAATACAAGTTTCAAAAAGAGGTTCACTTTACAAGGTTTCCCCCTTGCTTTTTAACATGATGCCTTGTATTGAACGACGAGGGCTCTTCCTTCCCTGCACACTATTCACTGTTTTTGAAGAGTTTACCTATTCTTGGTTTTCCAAAGTTGTGTCTGCCTAACCACGCCATTTGTTGGTAGTTTGAACGTGGCGCTGGGTCACAAACTCACCTATGATGAAATTCAGTGTTGAAGGCTCACTATACCAGTAATTAGAAGAGATGTTGGTGAAGGTGTAGATTGAGGCTAGGAACTCTTTATTTGAGTCGACCTGTATGGTAATCTCCTTCTCATCAAGAGGTATACTGTAACCGTCTAACGGTGGTCCGATAGCCAGAGCATATGCTTGAAAGTCTGAGGATGGGCCACTCCAAACAAAAGTGACGTTGTTGTCAATAATTTCCTTCACTTCAAAGAACAAGACTGGTTCTGGTCCTGCAGGTAAAGAATTTGAAATTTACCGTATAGAAATGAAAATGCTTTGTTTTAGAGTCCCACATTGAGTGACTTCAAGTTGAGTGTTAGTGTTAGTGTTTAGAGCAGTCAAGAGCTCTTAAATCAAGCTAAGAATTTGGTGATGAAATTAAGAGCCCGATACCGATATCAATATCGATAGCTTAATACCACACACAGACTTGATTTCATGACAATGATTTAAAAATAGTACATAAAAACAGTTCAAAAATAAAAAATGTTAGTGTTTATTAAACACTAACACCAGCCCTAAACACTCAACTTGAAATCACTCAATTATGCATAAACGCAGACAAGGGTGCTGTGAAAACTTGGGCATGCTAGCTATCACAATGCTGTCACAATGACAATCATAACACAATATAAAGCACAATTTGTGCTCAAGCCCATTTTCACTTGGAGGTGATTTTTTAGCTGCTTTCCAAGAAACTGTACTGCATTCCTATGCCAATAAATCAATAGAGTTGTTAGAACAATATGCTGCTATAATAATCACACTGAAGATTACTTTTCCTAGTTCTGGTACAGTAATATTCCAATAAATTAATAATATCTAATAATACTTAACCCTATGTTAACGGGGGGGGGGGGGGTGAATTTGACCCCTCCCCCCTGTAGTTATTTAGCGACTACTCCGGAACCACAGCAGATATAAAGTTTTCCTTTCATGCTTTTTTCTTTCGAGTCTTACGCATCTTTTAAAACAATGTTTTTGAAAATCAGACCTAAAGTTACAAAGTCATGTGACCTTTTGTCTTTGCATGTCAGACCAAAAATCGCTCAATTTTGTGGTTTGTGTCGAAACATATGGCAAAAGCATTTTTCCTAAAATGTAATTTCACAATTTACTCACGAGTAGAAATTGCGCCGGTATCCACATTATCTAATTCAGTCATCCCCGTCTTCCAGACCAAAAGATTAGGGGAATACTCGGTACCAGGCTTTAAACCAGTTAGTACATATGTAGTCTGAAGAGTGAAGAATAACCTGTCGTTGAGTTGAATGGCATATGTGTCTGTGTCAGGAATCGCTGCCCAGACAAGTCCAATAGAATCAGTTGTCACCTCTTCATGATAAAGTCGGCCCTTTATAAGAGGACCTGTAGGAATATTGATGAGATGATTGAGAACTGATCAATATGCATATAATGTTAAATGGCCTTGGGGAGGATAAAAAGGTATATCACATTAGCTGGCAAGCATATTTTACGAGTCCACGAGATGAATGAAATATTTTCATAACCAGTGCAATATAATGCTGAAGCCTTGAGGAAGATAAAAAGGAAAACTGTCAGTTTCAGTGAAACAGTACGTCAATCATTCTCACTACAGGAGGGCTCAATTATAGATGCAGTTATGCTGCAAGCTAAAGGCCTTCGGTTTTTCTCACATACCGGTGTTTTCTCAGAAATCGCTAGGCAACTACCCATGAACAAGCCCCAAAACCCACCTGTGATATGAATTCATATAAAACGGCAGCAGAAATTCCACCACAGAGCAGCGGGCGCACTACTCACCAAAAAAAAGAGAGAACAAACACTAATAGTTTTTATGGGTTTTTCCTTTAATGTAAATGGCAGTAAAAAAAAGCAATGGTTTTTAACAATATTTCCTGTATAAATGGGCCTTATGTTAACCCAAATCAGGCGGGAGGGGGGGGGGGTCAATATAGTTGAATCATACTTAGAAGTGAAAAGTAAACGCAAAGCGTAGCATCCCCTAGCAGGCTACAAATGGCTATATACAATGTACGTCAGAACAAGTTTAACTTGTTCTGACGTACATTATACCTCAGTTAGGCTACACTAGTACACTACTAGACAAGAAAGTTAACCACATTTTTGCATATTTAATGAGCTATGACCTATCACCTTTGACCTACATACTCCGAAATCGAACTAATTAGGCTGTATTTTGATACTATGTACCTTCATTTCAAATTTCATTAAAATCCATCAAACATTACTAAAGTTAGCGAACGGAAACCAGATTTGTTACGGAAGGACGGACGGACGGATGGACAGACGGAAGAACAGACGGCAGCGTTTCTATATCCCCTCCGAATTCCGTCGCTGAGGGGATAATAAAACAACAGAAACCATAAAATACCTAAGTTAAAAAAACAAAGAAATACCGAAGAACATAAGAAATTATCAAAACA